ATTCTTCTCGAGGTTCAAAGCCCGACCTCACTTGAGACTCGCAACCTTAGGTGCAATTCAAGGGCAAGCACAGCTTGCGACACATTTTGACCGGTCAAGTTGTCCTACCTTCAGTGACCATCTCACAGCACGAGTTCACTTGGGCGCATGTCTATGAATACCAAAGCGTCGCCCGGGAGTTTGTTTTACGCAACGACTCGCCCTCTGTTTGCCGCGTTACGTTTGACCTGGCCCAGTTGGTGCGTACCTTATGACAAACACGCGTTAGGATGGCATTCAATGGCGCCCACTTTGCTTTTTGCTTTGTTTTTGTTTTTCTGTGTTTTCATGATGAGCAGGTCACCATTCCTTGACCGTGGTTTTTAATTTTTCATTTTATTTTATTTTTTTTTAGGAGTCGGCATCCGTGGTCGCTTTAGATGACAAAGATGAAGGCCTGGTCGAGGCGACAGATCTCGTCACTCCCAGTGGTGAGGAGGTTCAACACATCCACGTCAAGCTGGAAGCAGGCGCAGAGATTTCTTTGCTGTTCCGCTTGCACCCGCGTCAAATCGCGAGCCTGCGAGCCAAGGTTCCGGTTTCAGTGGGCGAGCACCCTGTGGGCGAGTTACATGTTTCAGCCACAGTGCTAAAGGCACCCGTTCACGTTGATGCCCCCAAGGTCTATGTGACTTACAACCCGAACGAGATGATGGTTGGCGAGACGTGCCTAACCAATGTCAGCCAGCACCCGGTCTCCATGCTCATCGACCTCTCCGACCTGCGCTCTTCCCCCGTGGCTCTCCTCAACGATGATGCTCAAGCCATCAAAGACAACATCTGGGAATTCAACTTGGCTGAGGGAGAGCAGCGCACTTTGAGCTTTGCGATGCTACAGAGCTCACGCGCTACGATCACCCGACGCCTGCCCATCTACTTGCAGAAACAAGCCGCTCCGCTCGCCGTGCTTGAGGTGGTAGAAGGCAGCGCAGCCGTGGACATTGCGCCCGCCATTCCAAGCGTGGATGTGGGTGCGCTCATGACAGGCCAAACATGGGAAGGCGTTGTGCACCTTGATGCGCTCAGCGATGTCACCCAGCCGCTGGAGCTGGCAGCCTTGGTTCAAGATCACCAGGGCGTTGACATGACGTTGTTGCGCTCAGCCCAAGACCACACAAGCGTACGCGTGGCCTTCCCCGAAGGCAACATCCTCCAACCTGGCACAGACCGGCTGCCACTCAGTGTCACGGTCAAAGCCCGCGTGGTTGGGGATATCTTCGCGACGGTAGTTGTGTTTCGACGCGACCCAACCGAGGACGTGCAAGTGTGCACGCTCTCAGTTCGAGGCATCTGTGACAACAGCGTGCTATCTGACGTCAATAACCTTCAATACGACGATGAAGCCTTCAAGACCGCAGAAAATGTCATGTTACGCTTTTTGGGCCAATATGGCACGCAGCGTTCGATTCCGGTCGAAAACCCACAGTCTTTTGTGGAACGCTGCGGTTGGACCGCCATTGACATGGTGTCCTTCCTGAGCAATGCCTCAATCCCTGGGTTGCCGCTGACACGGCCCTTGACCTACTCAGAGGACCAATCGCGTCACATGCTGCAGCTTGCCATCAGTTTTGTGTCTGATCATGGCGGGCTTCTTGAGCCTGTCACGCCGGAAAGCTTGCGCAGCGGTGAAGCGAGCTTTGAGCAGCGCAAGAGCTGGCTTCGCTTTTTTGCCCAGGTGCGTGACTTGCTGATGGACGGCTGCTGCGCGCGAAAACAGAAATGAACGTGCCCTGTACCCCACATATATATTCTTTTCTGCCAATACTGTACGTGTGCTCACTGGCGCATGAATCGGTGTGCGTATTGTGACCTAGGTGTTGCGCTGTTTCGTCATTGGACGCGGCCCTCTTTATGTGTGGCGAAAACCTGAGCGAACGCGGCTGCGCTCGTCCAACTTTACCGATTCCCAGACGCGTGTCGTCGACTGGTTCTGCCAGGCGACCAACCAGCCCCATCCACAAAACTTGCGCGAGCTCCTGCTTGATTTGAAGCCTCTTAAAAACTTGTTGGTCAAGACCATGCCCGATTTGGCAACGCTCTTGACCCAGTTCAAGGACGAGTCTGTGACCGTGGATGCTCGTCGCCACAACGCCATCATTGTGATTGAGACGCTGCGCCGCGTGCGCTTCCTGTTCAACATGGACGCTGCCGACTTTCTCGAGTGCAACAATGTGTTTGTTCTGTTGTTCCTGCACTCTCTGCATGCCTTTCTACCCCAGCTGACGCAATGCTGGCAAACCGTCAAATTGCAGGGGGCCGTCAACGCCAGCCTGAAAACGGTTATCAAGTTGCCCAACACGCAAAAGCACGCAGTTGTTGTGCACTTGACGGCGTTGTGCGATGAGATGGGGTTGGATTTTGCCGCATCCACTGCCGTGGCCAATGGCACTGAGATTGAGATACCAGTCACCTGGCGACCCAAGGGGGAGTTGCGGTGCCAGGAAAAGATTCTCCTCGCCGTGCAGCGCTCCGGAAGTGCTCATGTCGAGGCGGGCCACGTGCTGGTGGACCTGCAGGCAGACTTGCAGGCCACCCAACCAAGCTTGATTGTGGAGGCATCGTGTTATGAGCTAGCTCAGGCAACGCTGGTTGTGCCTCCGCGGCAGATTCCGGCTGCAGGCATGTATGACGTGACGGTGCGGGCGCTGGACGCACCCGAGGATCCCAACCCTTTGCCGGCGCTCTGGGCGTGCAAAGATGAGCTGCATCTGCAACCGGGTTCGCCGGGCCGACTGATGGTCAAGTTTCTACCTACTCGTTTGGGCCTGCATCGCGTGCACGTGGTTTTGGCACACCGAAGCTCAGGGCAGCAGGTGTGTTTGGAAGTGCATGGCAATTCCTCGCCTGCTGCTCCCAACGAGTCGTTTCACTGGCAGTGCAACTTGGCAAAGCCAGAACAGCGAGTCATCAACATTCCGTATATCAATGGAGCGCGCCGCGTAGCCTTTTCCACCATTAGTCGCGAGGTCGCCAACCTGCGCAATGTTGCCTTGACTAGTCGAGTGCCCGGGAGTTCGAGCGGAAGCTTGGAGCTCCGCACATCGGTGCTGGGTAGCGCCCATGCCAAGTGCCCTGCCAGCGTGGAATTGACGCCTGGCATGGATGCTGATACGGCCACTGTGCCTCTTCCTGTAAACTTCACGCCAGTTGCCGTGGGCACGTATAAATTTGCCATTACCTTACAGGGATCTGGCGACACGCGCGTGTTTCAAATTGTGGCCGATGTCCTGGACGGCAAACACGTGAACATGGCTTGCCGAGCGGCGCTGCATGGAGAGGCTGTTGTGACGGCAACGGTTCTGAACCCCTGTGATGCACCACGTCGCTTTCGCTGTGTTTTGGAAGGACCTCCAAGCTTCTCGCTGGTGGGTCAACCCAAGGATGGGGAAGTGGTCGTACCCAACGAGCGCGAGGCGGCTGTGGAGGTTGCGTTTTCTCCCACAACGCCCGGGACCGAGCGCAGCGTTTTGCGCATGGTGGACGTGCTCACTGGCGTGACTAGTGAGTTTCACCTGCGCGGCACAGGTGGACTTGAATCGCGATCAGCCAGCGCCAACTTGCTGGACCTTGGCCGCCGTCGCAATGAGGATGTGTCTCTGCAACAATTTGAAGCCCGCTCTGGGTTCTCACCGCGCAGCAACAGCCGAAGTGGGGGTGCAACCCGAGTGGAGAATGATGAGAATGGTGATGGCAGCTTTGATCTCGCAGATGAAAGCAACGCCAATGATCTTGATGGCGACGGTACAGTACGGACAGCCAGTCGTCTCAGCGAAGACAATGCGGAGCAGGCAGCTGCCACGGACATTGACGGCTGGGCTTCTTCCGTAGACACGACGGGTGAAGGCGTGGGTCTGCAGCTGCACGAGGATGCACCTCTCATTACCGTGGGCGAGCCAACGCCATTCGAGGTGCGCATTTTCAATGGCACATTCGAGGACGTGGTGGCCCAAGTGCGAGTCCCAAGCCCCTTTGTTCAGGTTCTCCAGCCGCGTGCTGGAGCGCGCTGCCGGCTCAGAGCCCAACAGACCCGGACCTTGGCACTCGAAGCCACTTTACCGGATATGCGTGACTATCAAGTTCCACTTCAACTCGTCACGGAAGATGAACAGGTGTGTGCTCCCAAGCCGGCGTGTCTGTGAATCGGTGCAAGCGTTTGTATATCTATGAATGTGGGGCCCTTCCATGGGCGCTGGGTCCGTCTTTTTGTTTTCCCTTGCTGCACGCGAGCCGAATGTATGCTAACGGGTGCCTGCCATTAGGTTCTTTTGGACGAAACTTTGTTGCTGATGCCGGTGCCTACCGTGACTGAGCAACGTTTGCGAGTTTGCCCAGAGCCTGAGTATGTCTGGCCATCGACATGTGTCAAGTCTTCTTTTATTTTTATTTTATTTTATTTTATTTTTTTTTCTTCTCGTGTTCTTTTCGATGGCGTGCTTCTTTATGGCCTTGCTTCGTCTTGTATTCGTTCTCATTCGTGTCGCCTCTCTCCTGTCGATCTCACACGGTGTTTTTCCTTTTGGTGCTCGCCTTGCTGGCGGGGGTGCAGGGAGTATGAGGCGCGCCAGTGGCTTACACTGTTTGATCGGGTGGCGCCAGTGACCCCGGAGGCCATCACTTGTGGCATTTCTGCGCTGGACGCCAATCTTGATGCTGAGGTGCACGTTCTCGAGGTCAGGTGGCGCTTGCGAAGCATGATAGAGGCCATTGCGCCTGCCTTGATATTTTCTCCCCCTGGGTCGCTGGGTGCTGTCCATCTAACTCTTCGTCTTGCTTATGCAGACACGCGAGGGCCGCAAGGGCATACAATGTCTGTGTGCAATCCGAACTACTGCATCCCCGCTGACAGGCGGCAGTCTCACGCTGGTGCGTCGCGTGTGCCGCGAGTTGCCCGGGCTCGACGCAACTTGTATTATAATTGCGGAGATAAGAAGTTCAACATCATGAACGGGATTCCTGACCCTATATCAATTGTTTTTAGACGCTAGCTGTCGCGGACACCCAATGCTGGGTCTACCACTTGGACCTTGCACCAAAGCCTCGACGCCTAACAGAGGTCAAGCTCAAGGCCACCACGCGCGCCGGCGTACAGACATTTGCCTTGTCACTCGAGTACGTTGCAGCGCTTGAAATGGTTCGGCGTTGTTGAACACCAATTCTTGGTGTCTCTCGCCTCTTTGGCGCGGCCCCCAAGTGGGCTCTGCGTTGGATTGTTTGTCTGTTTTGTTGTTTTGCTTTGTTTTGCAGTCGCGGGTATCTGACACTGAACCCACTGCTCGATACAGCTTGGTGCCAGGCGATACGCTGGCCTCGGTGAACTTGGTCAAGCCCAGCAACTGTTTACAGGCGGAACTGGATTCCGACAACGCTGGGCGCTTGGCGGTGCAATTTGCCCCTGGGCGTAGCGCCGGTGTCACTCAAGCTGATGCCCTGGTCACCACAAGCCAGGGCCGAACCTTCCTCTTGCCCATCTCGGCTGCGCCGCCGGGCTTGTAGAGGGTTATTGATGTAACATTGACATGTTAACTGGCTGCATTCTACTCTCGCCGAAGCTTCATTGGTCATTTTCCGCTTGTGTCACTCACTGTTCCTTCAGCCAAAGATCTGCCTGTGGTGGACGACGTATGCGTCAAGGAAGGAAGAAAAAGGTGGGAACAAGCCAATAGATCTAAAGGCGATGTCTCCTTGTTGTTAATGCTTTTGCATTCATGTAAAAAACAACACGGCCAAGCTTTTCAAAAGGCTGACTCTGAGCACCGCCAGCCCAGACAGACCACGAAACGGCGGTCGAGATGCAGATCTGGAGGCTTCCACTTTTGTATCCCTTTTGTGCTTCTTCACACTTTTAAATCAAAAGAGGGATAAATTCACAAACAGCAGCATCGGCGCAAGACGGTGGCAGACTGGTCCCCGACTTGAGGCCTGCAAACTTTGGTTTGACTCTAGACGCGCAGGAAAGCAGCCTGCAAGCCGCTGGGCAGCCTGATGCGGTTTTTTGACCGTTTCATTTGCATGGCATCATCTCATCTCATCTCATCGCAAGAAACAGAAAATTCTGACAAAAAAGAGCTGCCTGTGTGTGTGTGTGTGTGTGTGTGTGTGTGTAACAAAAAGTGAGAGAGAGATTGCATCGCGATAGCGAGCGCCGCTGCCTCACACACGCGCACGTCCAGTGCAACGCGCTCGGTCACGCCGCCGCCGGCCACGATAGGTGAGGTCAGTGTTTGGGGCTTGGACATGAATGGTGGATCAATGGTGAGACCTGCCGGCGCAGGTGTTGGTGCTGCCATGCCCGATGCCCATGCTAATTTCACTCTCTCTCTCTCTCTCTCTTATTTTTTTGCTCCTTCTTCTTCTTCTTCTTCTTCTTCATCTTCTTCTCCGCCTCGCGCGCCTCGACCTCCCTGTGTTATCGGATCGGGTGCACAAGTGGGTGCGGGTGAGTGAACAAGGTTCTCTATCCTTCAATGCATCTTCAGTCTTGTCCATGACACGCGGCATATTCGCTTTCTGAATTCCCATGCGCACTCAAGGGTTCATTAAACCTTCAATTTTTCGCTTGGCTTGGTTGTGCACTCGAGTGCTCTGTTTCCTCTGCTCCTCAAGTCGAGCCCTTTGCCATGTCTCCTCCCTTTCATTCACTTCCAGGTCTTTGCTCTCCCCCATGCACGCCTGGTCTGATTGCTGTGCCGTTGACATAGGTTTCCCCCCAGTCCGCGATCCCATCTCCCTTGTCTCTGAGAATCAAGCCACACTTGGTTGCTTGGTTGGAGGCTTTTCTTCTCCGTGGCTTTAGGTGGCGTGTGACCCGCAATTGACTGCTGCACCTCTCCTGAGAAACCAGGCAGCCACCAAGCATGGAAGGTTGGGTAAAGCGGCGTGCTGCCCGCCTCAAGTGGCAGTGGCACAGTCGCTACCTCATCCTCAACAGCACGTCCAACACCCTCTTGTACTACAGTAGGTCTTGGCCTTGCAGCGATTTCTTGCTACCGAAGTTTGGCAGCATTTTGCTTACCCCGTGCTGCGCTCACATGTCAACTTGTGGTTTACTCGACTGTGGTGCGCAGACAAGGCTGATGATTTGGAGCCCCGCAAGCGGTTTGACATTCATGCCAGCTGCAAGGTGACCGACCCCTTCCAGCGGGATTCCGGATCCGAGGCCCTTTGGTGTCTTCGCATCAGCTTTACCAAGGCGCAGGCCAACCATGCCAGCGGCGTCAGCAATCAAGAATGGCAGAGCGAGGACGAGGAGGATGAAAGCAGCCCACCCGTCGGCAGGAATTCCTCGGTGCAGAGCAAGGGATCCCGCAGCAAAGGCACACTTGAGGTGGCGGTGGCCTCCTACGAGCTGGCTGCTGCATGGGTCTCAGCCATCCGTCAGTGCGTGTCCAACGTGCGCCGCTCCATCAAGCGGCAAAAGAATAAAGCAGAACCGTCGGGCTCACTTCAGGACATGACCTCCTCATCGGAGATGATCAACAGTAGCCACACAAACCCCATAATGACCCCCGACACCGAAGGCAGCTGCACACCCCACATTATTCGCGAGCCTGACTACGGTGATATCCCCGTTGCCTTCCGTCACATCATGGACAAACGCAGCATCGAGTCGCCGCTCACCTCGTCAAATGTGGTCGTTGACCGCATTGACAACGGTCTGGCCATCTATCGCGAGGATACCCAGGACGAAGAAAAGATTTTCGAGTGGGAGGTCCTGCGCCCCTACAACCAAAATCTGTACCTAAGCCTCTTTCTCTTTGCCATGACAATCGTTTTACTCTTTGGTGTGCCCACTCACTCGTCAATGGTCAAGCTGCTCATCCTCTTCCTGGGCTTTGGTGGCGCCCTCTACGCGGTCTTGCGCAATGTGCAGCGCATGAAGGGCCTCAAACCCGTGTTTCTGGCTGGCCACCACGTTCGAGGTGCGCCCCACGAGGTCAACGAGACCCTGTTGGCCACAGATCACACTCGTCTACTCTGGGACGGTGCCAATGCGCAGGTCACCGTGCTTGAGCGCCGTGACGAACACGTGGATGTGGTGCACATCAGGCAACGTGCCGTCTTCTCCTGGCCATTTTGGTACAAACCACGTGACATGGTTTGCCTGCGCTATTGGGCTCGCGAGGCTGATGGGAGCTACGTCATTGTCATGCAGTCCACCTCGCATGCGGATGCCCCTGTGACCTCCAACTTCGTGCGTGCCGAGGTTCTGTTTTGGAGCTATCTCATTTGCCCCCTCAAACCAGAGTACTTGGAGAAGGGCAGTAAGATGATGATGACATCTTTCGTCGTGGAAACCGTACGTCACACCCTCATGCCATGCATCACCTGCAGGGAAAGCACATGCACCTGAGACAAAGGGGCTCAAAACCAACCTGCTCGCCAGACGACTCACGCATGATGGCCGTGCTCGCCTTTTCGCAGATTCGGCTGGATCCCCGAGGCATGGTGGCTCATCTCCATCCTTTTCACCACTTTTCCTATCCTTTCGTGGCGCCGCTGCTGACTGATCTCATGGCCCTGGCTGGCTACCTGCGTTCCAAAGATTTCGTGGATGCCGTCTCCCGGAGCCGGGTGGCTGCAACACCCAGTGTCTCCGCCGCCCCTACAAGTTCAAACACAGGATACACCCAACTTGATCGCGCCGTAGAGATTGAGGCTTTGGCCAACGGTGTTGATCTGGACGTGGACGACAGCACGCCTTCGGTGTCGGACCTATCCCTGGATGATGGAACTGAGCGTGCCTCAGGGCTGCGGCAACGACGCTCCAAGAAAAATCGCTCGGCATTTCCCACGCTGAACAAGCCGATGCAACTTCCTACCACTCCCACAGAAGCCAAGGCTGCGAGCCAGCTCTGGTGGGTCGAAAGCGACCTTGTCAAGGGCGTGCCACGAGAACGCTGCACCTTCTCGTCAGCCAGCGTGATGGAGCCAGACGCCACCAAGTATTCGATCCGCGGCCCCACCTACTTGGAAGATGGCATCAAGATACCCGCGGCCCCAGCCATGTTTCGCCTCGTGGCCGTTGACATTTATTCCTTTGATGACCCCAACGATTGTCGTAACATTGGCTCGCGATCCACAATCTGTCGCGAAGCCGAAGCCATCACCGACCCCATTGAGCGTGAGAAGCACTTTACCTTTGTTGCTGTGATCATTCCATCAGCCCGCAACTTGTCCGTGGTGATGCATTATCAACCCCTGGACCCTGATTGGCGTACCAAGCACCCACGCTTCAATGAACTTTTTACCAACTTTATGAATGGCAGTGACCAGTACCGTAATGAGCGATTCAAGCTAATCCCCGACATTGTCAAGGGCCCCTTTGTGCTTCGGGCCTCGCTGCGTACACGCCCGGCTATTCCTGGCACCAAGAAGGTGGACATTGGTTACTACGGCGGTAGCAACTGGTTCGAGGTTGACATTGATGTTTCGGGTCAGAACAAAGCCAAGTACCTTACTTCACTGGCCTTGCCCGTGGCAAAATCCCTCATCGTGGACTTGGCCTTTTTGGTTGAATCACAACATGTCGCCGAACTGCCTGAGCAAATTATTGGCGTCGTTCGTTTCGACAAGACAGACCTTTCGCAGGCCATCAAGGTGCCCAGGGGCGTGACGACGCTCCCACCCCAGGACGCCCCCACCGCCCCGTAGAGTCAATCCCCATGCCTGGCGAGTTTCACTGGGATTGTTCGGCGTGTAAAATGTGTATCGTTTTGCTCTGTTTTTCCCCTCAGCCTTCTCTGTGTCTTGCTGTTTTTGGAGTACGCAGCGCGTACGAGTTAGTTAGCTCGCTGTTGGTTGCAGGCTTGATGTTTCCCAAATTCACCGCGAGTCAAAGTTAGCATTTGCGCCAAACAAAAGTTCAACACGTAACAATGTTGTCTCGAAGCCTTGAGTCAAAATGGCTAACCACAATGAATGAAATCATTTTTCACGGATCAAGCAATAGCGTCAACTCATCGAGAAACCTGTACGAGATGAATTTTTGAAATGCCAAGGCCAGCTTATTGCGAGTCGAGGATGGCAAAGCCAAAATCGTGTCCCAACACAACATCCTGCACCTGCTTGGCTCCTTCGAAGACCTGGCATGCCTCCTGATTGAGGAGGCAGGTCAGTGCGTCGACTGGTCCGGTTGAATGACCATGCGCAGCCAGGTGGCCAGCACCCATCGTCCACAGCTGCCCTTGCATGTCCACCTGCGTTCAACTTGGTGAGTCAACGGTCTTGCTATAAAGACAAAGACAAAGCATGGATCGAAGCAAAGGCGCTGGGCTCATGACGAACCGCGGCAAAAGCCATGGAATTGGCAGCAATGAAGCGAAAGCGGAGGTCTGTCTCGGGCAGCTGCAAGGGCACAAACCCAACGTGCGGGCCTTGGACGTCAAGTCCTGAGCGTCGCACTTGCCCGTCAATCAACACATAGGTGCACGACCCACTACAGGCCACCTGCTGAACTGTTTCCTCCGGGCCTGCGAGGAGAAAATGCACGATGGCGGAAGCAGCAGCGACAGTCAGACTGGGCTTGGCGCCTCCGGCAGATGGAGGAGGAGGGTTACATTGAGACGGACTGAGCGTCATTAACAGGCCAAGCTCCATGAGCCGATCCTGTGCCTCGGGATCCTGTGCGAGTTGCCCATACTCGTTGTTTCCTGTGCCCCAGAGACGCGTCCCTTCCTAGAAGAGGTGGATTGTCAAACGGAAGAAAGGCGGAAAAGAATATGATGAATAATGGAAAACTGGAAGCAAAGAGGGACAGGCTGGCCAGGACTTGGCAACAGAGGGTGATGCCCCAGCAGGCGCCTCACCCACTGATGGGCTATCGGCATAGCTGTGGGCTCACCAACCCTCTGAACCTTTATTGCTGGCAACAATATACACCAAGCCGCAGGCACGTACTAGAGTGCGTTCGACAATGATGGTATGGTCAGTACCCGCCGCGATGCTCAAAGTATCAGAGGCATGAGCGGTGCCAAACAAGAGCCCAGGTGGCGCAAGAACGTCCGAATCACCCAGTGTTGGGCGGGGACCTATCACACCCGGCATGTGCATACAAGCGAGGCAATTTGATTTGAAAAACGAAAAGAAAACTGCCAATTCAAAGCACGACGCAAGTGAAGCCATAGCCCGACCATCTTACCCGCCTGGCCATCGGCATTGCACCCACTGGTGACGACAACGGCGCGTTGGTTCTGATCTTGGCCCAACAACACTGAATGCGACGCCCCACAGGCCAGTGAGCTCCAGTGTGCAATAGGGGTGTCTAAACTGGCGGCAAAGACATCTGACAGGGTGGTCCAGTCATATGGCTCGGATTGGACAACCCCCAGCTGTTGCTGAGAGCTGAGACCTGCGCCCCAAATCTCATTGTCCTCGGTCAATACCATCTGCCAAGGCTGCAGGTTAGCGGACGGTGGGACATGGAAGTAAGGAAAGGACCGAAAGGACAACGTACGCTGTGCTCGTGTCCGGCAGCAAGGGCCTTGATTGGGGCGTCACATGTCAAAAGTCGCTGGCCCAATCGGGTCACAGAAAGGTGAGGCGTGCATGGTTGATGCTGGTGGGTGAATAGGGGATGGTGCGATATCACAGCGTTGGTTGCTCACCGTTGGTGCTGCCAAAACCTTTTTCAGCGACGTGCCTGGAGCGCCCACAAGCATGGAAGAAGGTGATCAATGGCAATGGGCTAGCCAAAACGAAGGCAAAGCATCAATCACATCGACATGGGTTGGAGAAGATGCTCAAACGCACCGAGCTGGCCGGATGTATTGAGACCCAGACCCCAGACTTCGTGGGGGTTCTCCTTAGGCACAAAGAGGGTGTGTGAAACGCCAGCAGCCAGCGAGGCAGGGCGCAGCAGAATGCCCTCGCGCTGTTGCGTGGGACCCTGTTGCAACATGGGCTGCGGCCGGTCCGTAAAGGCGGAGCTAACGCCTGTACCTAGAGGAGCCAAAACACAACGGGTGGCAAACGACACGCAACACTTTGTGTTAGCTGGAGAGGAAGGGTACCACCCATCTTGAAAAGCCTTTTCGTAACCCCAACCAACCTATAGCCGCGCCGTCGTTTGCCCCCCAAGCAAAGGCATGCCGCCCACGCCTCACGCCCAACGCACTCCATCCCCCTGCTGCCGCCAACACCGCCCTCCGACCAGCTGCTCCAGCACCTCCAACGCCCGCTGCCACCACCACCACCATGGCCACCATTCTCCGTCGGGCTGTTTGATCTGACAACGTCTGAAAAATGCTGACATGCTGACATGATGACATTTCTCTCTCTCTTCTCTCTCTCTCTCTCTACTTGACTCCTTCTCACACACGTGTGTTTGCTTTGCATCAAGTACATGACACCTCCTTGAAATTTTTTTTTTCTCTCTCTCTCACACACACACACCAACTGAGAGAGGGGCGGTGGTGTGCGCTGGAGCTGATCGCGTACAGTCATCGACATCGGCTCTCGGCTTGGTATCACGGCGCTGATTGGGTGGTCCGGCGGGAGAGGATTTGAAGTTGGATCCGAGGTCGCAACATTGAGTGAGAAAGAGGTGGGAGGCTTCAAGCTGCCGCAGGTGTTTTGGTCAGCAGGCAGCAAAGTCTGTGTCGCGCCTGTCTTGGCTGGCACGAGGCGTCGCACCATGGTCAAGCCTGCAGTCGGCGCTCTCGCAAAGCGCTGGGCTGTCGGAGGCGTTGGCATAGCCTTGGCCCTGCTCATATATGTGGACCAAGTTGCTCAAATCCAACCTGACGTGCTACTCGGCTGCCTAACCCTCAGCTTTGTGGCTGGTCATGAGTTTCCCCACATTGAGGCACGTTGACCCCTCTCCCGTTTCAAAGTGGTCCCTTTGGCTAGGGAGGCCACACGTGCTCCCTTGCAAGTGTATCTCTTGACCTGCTCTTGCCTTATCCTGGACAGTGCCAGCTCCCAGCGGCTGGTGGCCTTTCCCGGCCCGTACAGTCAGCTCACACACCTTTGGCTGTACGCTCCAGGTGACGCGCCTCGCGTCGCGCCTTGCACTAGCGGGTGGGACCTTGCCGCTTCTCTTGGCAAGCGTGCCCAGCCATCTCGCCTGGATGGCACCAGCCTTTGTGTCCTGGCTCGTGGCCTTTGGCATTGCTGGTTTGTTCACCTCGCGCTTATTTTTCGCTGGCACCGTGCATCTGAGTCTTGCTTGCCCCCCGTCTCAATCAGAACTTGGGCTATAATTGTGCGTCGTACCTTGGCATCGCTTATCAGCCCTTTGGCCTGAAACTTGCTCTCGAGGCTTAATGGCCTTTCTGGGCCTAAGCGCCGTGATACTTCAAGCCCTTTGTCGTGCCTCTTGGACTTTACCGGCGTCTCCAGCCTCGCAACTGCTGCAAGCCGCCTGGTATAACATGCCGACCGTTGTGTGTGTTTCCTGACATCTGGTTCCGGGGCGCTTTCGTTACAACATTAACTCTTGCCAACCCGGTGCCTCGTCGTTTCGCCCCGCATCACCAGCCTCAGTCTTCCCATCGCCCACCTGGCTTTGACACTGTGGGAACAAGCTCCCAAAGCAGCCGAGCACCAAACCACTTCTCAGACTGCGGTACGCTCTGCACAGGTCCGCCCTTGCCTTCCGTGACCCTTGGTGTCATGCATAAACACGCCGCAGAGCCTTTGGAACTGTTGATTGGACATTATCTTCACGCCGCCCCATCTCTATTCAGGAGCCGGAGCTTAAAAGCGAACGTGGCACAAGTGTGGGCTTCGATGGCTCTGGGACGGTATCGCAAAGCAGCAGCGAACCAGATTCTAACCGCCCGTTGCGTCGAAACAGTGTCTCGGCAGAAACCGGTGGGAACGTCAACCTCAGCGTAAATAAGCTCCTGATGAAGCAACACCACCACATTGAGATGCTTCAAACACAGCTAAAGCAAGCTGAGACGCATGAGGTTGGTAGACGTCTCCGGTTGAAAAGCACCGGCCCACACTTTTTCCGACCGCTCATCACCCGTGAGAAATGAGTGATCGCCCTCACTGTCTCTGGCCCCAAACAAATGCTGTATTCCCCTGCTTAGGCGCGTGTGCGAGAGTTGCAGGACCAAGTGCAAGAGCAACACCAGGTATGCGTCCATCCGCCTTTCACGTCACCCCATTCATGCCCATACATGAACACGTCAGAATGCTAACACCGTCCCTCATCGGCCTTCCTTCTCGCCTGTGCAATGCTCTGGCAGCTGCGCGAGCGCCTCAAGACTTTGCAAGCCAAGTTTGATAAGCTAACGACACGGGCTACCTCGCTCGAGGATGCTAATGATGGACTCAGGAGAGACAATGCTCAGCTTCGTCAGCGGCAGCAACAGCTCACAGAGGAACTTTCCGAAGCGCAGGAGCAGCTTGGCTCTCCTCGACAAACAGCTTCGCCCAAACCTGATTTAGACGCAGCAGAAGAGGCATCATCAGCCGCCAATGCTACGGGCCCCACAGAGCTCAACCCAGCAGCTTCTGCTGGTACTCCTGACCCTACTCTGGAGGGCCCCGTGACTCCCACGACCAAGCGAGATAATGTCGATCGTCTGAAAGCGCGCTTGAACAAAAAGTATCAAGAGCTTGAACAAATCAGCCACCAGCTACAAGCTACACGCAATAAACTAGAGCGCGCAGAACAGCGGCAGCAGCAGACTGAATATGAGCATCGCTATCTTTTGCAGGCCCACGCAGACTTGCAACTGCAGCTAACCCAACACAGCATGCTCATTGCGGAGCTCAAGGACAGTTTGCTGGAGGAACAAGGGGAGCGTCAGCAACTGGAAATGCAGCTGGCCCACATGGAACTGCACTATACCCAAGCCAGCGAGGAAGACAGCCTCCTCTCCATGGTCTTTGACTCGGTGGGTGAGCTCGAGACGCAGCCACTATATGGCGAACTGGAACCTGATACGGACTCGCTCTTTGCACCTGCCACTGCCTCGCGGCTCCCATATCCGGAAGACGATGCCTGGAAGCCTTTCTGAAATCAGTGGGTGTGCGCGATGCGCAACACGCCTGGCGCGTTTTGGCGCATGTGATATGTTTGCTGTGTTCCAGAACTTGGTTAAGTGAATTGCGCCCCCCATTTGAGCTCGCGAGGGGCAACATTTAAGCAAACAAAAAAAAAACTGACGCTTCCTGGTCTTTAAATGCTGATCTGACGGCGCCGAACAACACCCCCACCCCATTCATTCCATCACGGTACTACTGAACCCTCTTTCCAAAGAATAATCAAAAGAACTGACATTTGAATATGAGGAACTGTGCAACCAAAAACAACACGTGCGTGACAGCGAAAACCGCCTGGCAGGGAGAGGTAAGAAAGGAAGCATCTTCTAAACAATTGACAAAACCTGGCCTAACATGTACACTGAAAAAAGGGAGCACGAGGCAACAAAAATCACGTGGCAGACTTGATCCTGGGCTGCAGCGTGGCGCAAACAGCAACAGCTGGGTTATGCGCGCTTTTGGCTCGGCTGTCGGGTGGGCAGGCGCCGCATGGAGTTGCCACGAGGCCTGGAAAACTGCGCCGTTATTGATGGCGCCCGAATCAGTGGCCCGCCTGTCATGTCATCATCTATCGCACCTCGACAACCCACGCAAGCTTTGGTGAGGCAAGGGCATTCTGCGATGAGGCAACCCAAGCAAGTGGTAGTCAAAAGACAAGGGTGGTACGCACGATCGTCATTTGCATCGGCTGCTGACGCAACACCATCCCCATCCGTGATGGGTTCCACAGAAGGTGTGCCATCGTCGGGCTCTGAGTCGCTCCATGACGCGTCGCTTCCACTGGCATCCGAGTCCTCGGCCTCGCGTCGCGCCTTGGCACTCTTCAGATTGGCCAGCAAGGAAGCTGGATTGTTGGCCTGCAAGCCAGGTAAAGCCTGTCACAAAAAGCAACACAGATGCAGCCAAATAAGAAGACCCGCAGACAGACAATCGGCATCAGAAAACGTTACGCCTCAATTGGAAGCGAGTCCTGCTTACCCCCGCGATTGCATGGAGACGAGTTGAGCTCAGGCGCTTAGGCTTGGGCCGCGGCTTTTCTGGCGTGTCTTTGACAGGACTGGGCTCGCTGGAGCGTGCAACTGCAGCCTCGAACATATCCTGCACTCAGCCATTGCACACGGCTTTGCTAAGAGAGACGCTTCAACTTTTGAACAAGATGACGGGCAACCACGACCCTACCTTAAGTTGGCTGCTACGCGGCGAGCTCGGGTGCACCGCTGATGACGGGGGAGTGAGGTGATCCGTGCCTGCAGCAGGCACATCTGAGGCGTGCAACTTTTCAAAAGCTGCCAATGAAGGCGCGTCCTCCGGCTGGGTGTCGTGGTGATAGCTGGGAGAAGCTAGTGGCGAAGGCGCATTCCTCTTTGGTCGTCCTTTGGGCTTTGTCAGAGGGCGTGGGCTAGCTCGGTTTGGTCTTGGGCTGACTGTGGGTGGCGAGCTGCGATCCACCGCTGAAGTTGAAGCCGTTGCTGGGACAGAGCTGGCGTTGGTCGTTGCTGCTCGGCGGAGTTCATCAACAATCGTATCAGACACATCAGTCACGCGAGAAGAATTTTCGGGCTCAGGTTTCGCTGGTTTGCTGGGAGCGGATCCGTGCACAGCCCGAATCCTACCGGCACCATAGCTTTGTCATTGAGAGCAGCTCTTGCACGTGTGGCCATGCAACATGGCAAGCATATCCCAAATCAACGTGCACGTGTACTGAGCTTACTTTTGGACTACGATGGCACATTCCGCTAAGAGATCGTGCACCTGTTCGACGCCAGGCTCGGGGCGCTGCAACAGCCGTAGGGCCTCCAATGAGCGCACCTGAGCGCGCAACGAGGCATTCTCCGTCTCAAGCTCTTGGACCCTATCGTGGTGCAGTTCCGTGATACATAAGAGCCTGAGAGAGAGAAGAGGGCCCTCGCCTGAGTGTTCAACCTACCGGCGTTGTCCATCAGCAGCTCGCTGCTCAGCCAAGTCGAGAAGCTGGGCGTGCACGGCAGCACTGATGACACCAGACCGCTCTATACCCGACAAAGAACAAAGTTCATGCGTTGATTACAAATTCGCCTGCATGCCCGTCAACCAAGCCCTGAAATTGGGACTTTCAGCAAGTTCGCGGTGGTGGTCGTGTGACCGAGTGCAACTGTCAAAAGGTAGCTCGGCACGTACCGGCACCGGCATGCGGGCTCTGTGCTTGCCCCTCCATCCGCCGCACTTGCTGCAGCAGCTGCTCCTGTCGTCGCTCCGCGTCCTTCGCTCTGCAAGCAGAACATGGTGCCGAGATTCATGGTTAAGACACCGATCACGAGCCATTGCTAAAGGATCGCGATCACGCCTTGGCATGTGACAAACCGTTGTTCCATGAGACGCAAGTCTTGCAATAGCTGTGAATTCGAGGCAAACCCGTGCAGGGCATCCTCTTGCCCCATGTGTCCCAACCCCATGCTGGCACCGTATTCGGCCTCAGGCGAAGTGAGGAAGCCTAACTTGAATGGGCGGTTGGTGGCGCTGCTGCCGCTGGCTGGCCAGTAAAGACCCGTGGAGGAAGACCCTTGGCTGGCACCTGCCAGATCCATCCAGCTCGAGGTTTGGGCAGCATCGCGCGCCATCTCCAAATTTTGCTTCAGAGAATTGACCTCACGCTGCAAATGTTGATTTTCCACCTCCAGTGTCGCCAGCGTTGCCTCGGACTTGGCCCGCCGACGAACAGCATCACCCAACTGTTGACGCAGAGCCTGATTTTCTTCTTCGTACAGCTTGCGCTACACACATGCCCAACCGAGAGCCATGAGTCAAGCTGGTAGCTCGAGATCCGCACCTACCACTGTCAGTGGTCATCAGCATGGCACAAACGCACCAGGTTTTCGGCTACTGTGGCGCGCGAGTCAGCCTCCACGGCCGAGCGGGATTCCGCTTCGAGGGAGCTGGCACGTCGCAAGGCTTTCTGCGGCAAAAAAAAAAAAAAACCAAGGCATGCGTTCGAGTCAAATGAAACCGAGAAACATGAGCACAAGGGTAACAACACGCCGCAGTTGTGACTCACGTCCAACTGCAGCATGACACCGTCTAAGCGAGCCTTGAGGTTGGCCTCTCGCGCACGCGCATGCTCCAGCTCGTGGGCATGCATGCGCGTGGCTACTCGCAATCGCACGAGCTCAGAGCGCTCCTCCTCATCGTCGGCCGCCGTCAATTGTCTGGGCACAAGTCAAACGCACACGGCAGGCATCGGTGAGGCTGCGATAACTCTGAATAGATCATTGACGGTGGGCAAACGCACCTCAGCTCGCGCTGGGCGATTTCTAGATCGGCCGTAGCCGTCTCGAGGTTGTCCTTGAAGTGCTCAAGATCAGCTTCAAGAGCCTGCTTTTCTTCAGTCAAGTCGGCAATTTGTCGAGCCGCGATCGCAGCAGCGTTTGTGGACTCTGCTGTTTGGGTTGCCAATGCCTACTCGGGTTCAAGAACGGCGCATGAGGGAAGCAACGAAGACCAAGAAGAAAAAGAGTCTAGGCCAAAAGGGAAGTGGGGAGATGATGCGAGTAGCCTTTGTCTGTTTAAAAGCCTGCACACCTGGCGGGCTTCGTCCAATTGGTGCGCAATGGTGGCAGCAGCAGCTCGGCTTTCGTCGAGCTGTTGTTTGATCTGACGCTCAACCTCGCGCGTGGCCTGCATACTGGCCGTCAGCTCAAGCGCACGTTGCTCCGCCGCATCGACTTTAGCCCAAGAGCGGCGCTCAACAGCAGCAGTTTTGTCCTTGGCCGCCTCGAGCTCCTCCTCAAGCGCCAAACGTTGCTGCTTGGCAGCAACACGCTCCTTCTGCAGCTGGCGCTCAAGATTGTTGATGGCCTCGCGCATCTCTTCTTCGGTCTGGCCACTCTTATGCTCAACGTGACGCAGAGCCTGTTGCGTGGTTGTCAGCTGGCGCAGAAGATCATCGTTGACCTGAAAGTTTTCGAGGCACCACGAGAGCCAGGGCGGTGCATGCTCCATGTGAGATGCGTCACGGACTTGGAGTAGACGAACACAAATATGGAGCCCGCCAGAAGCAAGGAGTAGGGATCAAAGAGCCAAAGAGCCAAAGAGCCAAAGATAAACGTACCGTCACAGCTTCATTAAGCTTGCGTTCGGCCTTGGCAGCCCGTGTTTCGCATTCAGTCTCATGTTCAATCAAGTCGCGTGTACGCTGGTCCAGGGCGGCCAGATCGCGCTGAGCGTCAGCCAATCGCTCGCTAGCCAGCTGTTGCGCCTCTACAGCCAAAGTTTGTGCAGCTTTCGCAGCAGTAGCCTTAGCTTCGGCGGTAGCAGCTCGTTGCTGACTGGCAGCGGCCATTTCTTCAGCTGCCACCGCCCGAGCTGCCAGGGGCTTGAGCTTGGCCACAGTGGCACGAAGCTGCTCGATTTTGGTGCGCGCCTTGACTTTGATATCATTGAGCTCTGTCTGTAGACCGTTGCGCTCCGCCTCGGCGGCTGCAGCGGCCCGTTGCCAGGTATGCACAGAAGCCTGTAGCGACTGGCGTTCCTCACGCAAAGAGGCTTTGGCCTCTTGTCGTTCGTTCTGGAGGTCAGACTCATGCAGTGTGAGCTCAGCTTGCGCTTGGGCCAAGCGCGACTGAAGCTGATCGCGCTCCTGCGCCAATTCTGTCACTTCGGCAGCTTTATTTTGGCGGTCCTGAGTGGCTTCGGCCAGGCGAGCTTCGAGGGCAGCCAGCTCACGGGCGTGCTGTTGTTGCAGGCGTGTCATTTGGTGACCATGTTCCGTCTGCAGGTCACCTTCAAGCGATTGCCGTTGCTGCTTGAGTGCTCCGTTCAGCTGAGATACAAGGGCACGACTGAGTTGAGAGAGGGTGCCAGACATGACATCTTGACTGGAGCGCACGTGCTCTCGGAGCTAAAGGAGGGCGAGAGAAGGGGCAGGGCGGGGCAGAGACATCATGTGGTGAGCACGAGAGAGAGAGCAAGCCTAGGAGCGGTAAATGAGTGACGCGCAAATTCAAGCATGTGTCAAAGGCAATGCGGCCAGCTCAAGAAGGAAAAGCAGGCTACCTGATCCAGCTGACGGCGCGACTGGTGCAGTTCACCTGCAATCTGCTGCACAGCAGCGGGGCGGATGGTCGAGGTGGGTGGCGGGCTGGCCTCAAGAGGCTCCACTGCACTTGGTGGAGCAATGACATCAAAGTCCAAATCAAAGTCCTCAAGGCCAAGCGGCTGGGCTGTCGCTTTGGCAGCCGCGTGCTTTGCCTCGGGCTCTGATATGGTGGATGGCGAGACTTGAGTGGGTGCGTGATCCATGTGGGCTGTACTCGGGGTGCGATGGACCGCAATATCATCGAAAGCGGCCTCCGCCTCGGCCATAATGTGTTGCATGGCGGCCTCAAGCTCTGGGCTTGAGACCTCGGTACGTGCAACGCCGACGGTGGGCGAACCCTCATCTGCGGCGATGCCGGTCGCTGCTACATCAAGCTCGCCTTGCTCTAAGTCGGCATCGCCGGCTGCCCCGCGCTCGCCAGTTGGGCCTGACTGGTGATGCGAGCCTTCGACTGCTGGGAATAAGCTTTCCTGGTCCTGCTGAACCCCTTGCTCCTCCTTGCTGTTCAGACCCACTGCCGCTGATCCCTCCTGTGGAGCTTCGGGCGCCGGGGCCTTGGCTTTGGGTGAGGATATAGGCTCATCGCCGGACTCTGCCTCTTCATTCAAGAGCTCTTGTCCAATGGCAATCCAAAAATCATCCAAATCGTGTCCATCTGATCGTAGAGCCGTCTGTGCCTGGAGGCTGGCACGTCGTTGGCGCGGGCTCATGGCCTTGAGCTCAGCCTCAGCCGAGCGAAACAGGTCATCCAAATTATCATCCTCCTCTTCGCCAGTGCCCAAGCCATCACCCGCATCTAGACTGGCCGTGTCAATGAGCGCATCGCCCAGCAGATCCTGCCAGAATGCGTCCTCAGCCTCGGCCTCAGTCCGGCTGTTGCGCCTGAGGTTGAGCAGGCAACGATGAGTCGGGTGACATCGGTTGATCCTGGGTGTGGAGGGGACATGCGAGCGAGCTGATGGTCTTCACCATATTTCTCGTGTGATCGGGTGCAAGATGGTGTCCCAAATCGGTCAGATGGCTGCGAGAAGAACTTACGTTGAGATGAGCGCCGCTACCTCGGCCTCGGCAGCCGCCCAATCAATGTCTTCCTCGTCTGACAAGTCGGACATGTTGGTGGTGGCACAACCCTAACAAGGGCTGGGTACTCGTGCTAAGACTCTCCTTAAACCCTCTTGATCTGGGACATGAATGCATTCACCCAACCCGCCCGACCAAGCTGAGCTCGACGAGGCACGCCACGCCCCAGCAGCAGCAGCAGCAGCAGGGCAGGGCAGCAACCGCAACAATGGATCGACCCGCCGGCTCTCCAAGATCGAGCTGTGTGAGCCGACCCCGAACCAACTGTCATTCCTTTTTGCTAGAAAGCAAATACACCCCCGGTTTTTGCAAGGGTGCTTTGTTGACATTTGTTCGTGTTTTCTTTTGGGGGTGTGGCGTTGGTTTGGGGATGTCCTCTGAATGAAAACGATACAGTCGTAGACGACTCTCTCATACGATGGCTCATGGAATCGGCCGCGGTCTCAAGACCCCTTTCTTCCTGTGCGACATGGTTCTTGTTGACTTGGAGCAGCGTCTCGGCTCATCGCATTTATGCTGGAAATGAGAGCGCATCCACGCATAGAGCGCGCGTGTAAGGCCGAGAGTTCTGCCAGAATGACTTTTTATGGTCGCGAACGTCATGAAAATGAAATGTAGGGCTAGGCTGAACAACAATAAAACCGTACAACGATTGTGTGCCACCGGCGTCAGCTTTCTCTTGATCTCTCTTGATGTCTCTTGATATTTTTTGATCTCTCTCCTCTCCTCTCTTGATCTCTCTCCTCTCCTCTCTTGATCTCTCACTCTCTCTCTCTCTCTTGATCCGTCTCTCTTGATCCCTCACACACACACACACACTCTCTCTCTCTCTCTCTCTCTCTCTCTCTCTCTCTCTCTCTCTCTCTCTCTCTCTCTCTCTCTCTCTCTCTCTCTCTCTCTCTCTCTTGATCGCTCTCTCTCTCTGTCTCTTTCTTCCCCCGCTTGCCTGTGTTGCTTGGATCTTACCCCCTATCGCTTGACATGAAAACGCACACACGAGTCAGAAGCAACTCCGCTTGTCTGCGTCCCAACCACAGCCGCTGGTCGATCCACCACCCCACTTTCCACCACGTCTGTCATCGCGTCCTTAAGCTCAACCACCGTCATTGATTGTACACGATTCACTGCTTGGCCTGAGTTTTGTTGATGTTTTGATTTTTCAAGGCCATTGGGATCACTGGTCGGTACATGGCTCATCCCGCACTCCCCCCGCCTTCCCCTGATCCCGGCCCGCATCCCGTCGTCTCTTGATGTTTCTTAGCCAGCATCTGCTCCTTGGACGAGAGTCGCCCGTAGTTTACCACAGTCAAGTGGCTTGGACGGAGCCCACACACCACCAACTGACCGCCTGCCATGCCACCCGGCTCGGCTCTGAGGCCGTCTTGGCTGCTTACGGCCTCGTGTCTCCTCCTCACGGCTCACCTGGGCGTCGCTGACATTGTGACTGAACAAGTCGCCACTTACATTGATTTGGATGGTTCAAACGACGCCGTGCGCATGCCCGATCTTACCCTCACCACAGACCTGACACTCGAGCTTGTCGTTCAATTTCGCGACAAATCGGCTGATAGCTACAATCGGTACGACTCCCTCGCCGTGGGTGCCAGCCTCGTTGTCTCATCTACCCCTTCCACCAACTTTGCCCTCTACGCTCTGACCAAGTGACCATGCTTCTCTTCAATATAGCGTCATGGAGATTCGTAACGAGGACGGCGAGTACCTGGGCATCCTGCGCGATCAAGTGCGCAACGGGCGTCCATACTTTGAAATTGCCTACAAGAATTCGGTTGGTACCCATTGCTTCTCGCACGCAAAACTAGGCTGTTCGAATCGAAGTATGATTGTGGACTCGTGACTCACATCCCATCGCCTCACGACAGCAAGGCACAATCTCAAAGTCTGTCCTGGGGGCCAGCACAACCGAAGTGGATGTCGGCCGGTGGTACCATATTGTCGTGACGACGCAGCTCGACGGGACCACGACCATGTACTACAACGGCACGCGCGTTGGAAACATCGTTCTCTCGGTGCGTGCAGTCGCTTGTTTTTGCCCCTCATCTACTGCACTACGCTCCTCGCCGTCTAAATAACCCTGCCTCAAACGGGATGAAATCAACGCTCGCAGTCTGGCTACTCGCCTGGGACTTTCACAGACAACTTTCTTGGTGGTGCTATTTCCAGCAACAACATGCACAATGGATTAATCGCCCTATTTCGCATTTACACCACGGCTCTGTCGGCGAGCCAAGCCCAGACGTTGTACAGCAGTGGCACCCTCCATGGCGTGTCCCCATTTCTTTCCTACACTTTTGATGACCAGTGTGGCACCACCGTCGATGACATCATCGGCCCAAACGATGGCAGCTTTGTGGTCAGTCGCGTACCCACTAACACGTGTCAACCCCAACTATTCAGAGCAGCACGCCCTCCTCACCCAAGAATGGGGCACCGTGCGTTTTTTATTTCACAGGGTTTTCCGCTGTGGAAGACCACAAAGCCTCGGGCTCTCGATGACATTCGGCGCACTGGTGTCAGCTTTATCGAGCCATACGACCAGATTCAACTCCCTGCTCTCACCTATGACGCCAGCAATGGCAACACCTTTGAAGCGGTATGCCTCGTCTCAGCTCCCACCGCCACGAAAACTCTTCCAAGTCTTCTCCCGCCATCTCAACACTAAGCCTGCCCGGCAGGTTTTTCGATTTACCGATGAGCTGTCCAACTATGATCGCCTGCTGTACTTTCGACTATCGGAATCTGAAGACACCGGCGTCAGTATTCTAAAATCGAATGCCGATTACGGTACGCACACCTGGCCCCTGTCGTGGAACCAACTTCAAGCGTGCTAATACTCGCAAACGTCCATCCTTCCTCCAAGAAAAAAATGCTTGCTCAATTTTGTAAAACTTGTTTCCCGCATCACAAAACAATAGGCTACGCGCTCAAATTTGAGCACAAATACGTGGCTGACACGGGCGATCGCATTGCTCCAGGCGCCCTCTCCACGCGCGTGGCGTCTGAACTTGGCATCTGGCAGCACCTGCTTGTTCGCACCTTCCCATCGGGCCTTGTAGAGATGTTCATCAACGGCAGCCTCGTGGCTAGCACAACCCTACCCAAACCCATCCCTACTTACACCTTTCAAACCCCAGCCATTGGGAGTGCCTGGGGTGGTACTGCCGTGCACAACGGTGATATTGCTCGTGTCAGGTCTGTGGCTGTCATAACCCCACCTGCTCTGCAAGTACAACAAAAAGCGAGCATGCACCCGTCCTGACCAGCGTTGCGCCGATAGCATCTTCAATCAACCACTGAGTGACAGCGAGATGCGCCAAGTCTTTGAGCTTGAACGCACGCCTGACGTGTTTGACAAGGTATGGTACCACCATAGAACCAAGAATATGCACTCATCGGAGAAGCAATGCCCTTGGTACTAACGCACCACACCTCACCTCAACGCCGGTTACGTTGCCGCCCAGCTTCTCTATCGTTGGGACATGCGTGAAGCCGTTGGGACCACGACAGCTGACTTTCGGGGTGGCATGGTGGGACAGTTCTTTGGCAAACCGCGCTGGTTCAGTGACAAGATTGCCTCACGCCTTGAAGCCGTTTCTGACAGCTATTTGGGCTTTGATGGCAACGATCGCGTCAAGCTGGAGCCCATTACAGTGAGTGCTTCCGAGCAACAGATCCAAAGTCAGCGCGATGACTGCTCGCAGCCATACTCGCATCTAGACCCATTGGTGCTGTGCTTTACCCTTTCTCATGAGTATTGATTGTGGCAAACAGCTTGGTGACACCTTTGCCATTGAGATGGTGTATCGCTTTCGAAGCTTGGTCGCCACGGGCTACAATCGTCTCCTTGAACTCAAAGTGTCGCCAGGTCAGCTTATCCCGTGTCCCTTTCAGCTTAAATGGCATACGCCAGTCACTCAAGCAGTGGATGGGGTATGGTAGGTGCGGATGATCACATAGCAATCCTGCGTCGAGGCTCTGAAGACTATCGCCTCTATTTCGAGGCCAAGCGTACCAAAGCAGAGTAAGCGCTTTTTGTTTGGGTTTTTCGCGTTCCACCTCACTCACTGAATCACCCCCGCACAACCCTGTTTTCTGCTTAACTCACACGCTCTCGTTTTGTAGCGGCACGTTTGCCTATCCCACGATTGAGAACCGTGCCCCACAGCAGGATACCAACTGGCACCACCTCCTGGTGATCAAGAATAAGAATGAAGGACGCTTGATTATTGATGGAAGCCTCGTCTCCGTCAACTCAGACATGCCTCATGCCAACAATGTTTATCAGAGCGTCTGTAAGTCACGGTGCCCAACACGCCCGTCTATTGCGTGCTCGACGAACACAAACTCCGATACCCTCATGACTACTCTCATGAAATTGGACCCGTGTCTCGTGAATGGAACGGCTAGGCCTCGGCTCAAAGGCTGATGGTACCTCAGCGTTCAAAGGGGATATTGCTCTTGCGCGCATCTACAACCGCGCACTCTCTGATGCCGAGGTGTGTGAAGCGAACGCGTTGTTCGCTTTGTGCGCGAGTGCCCTACGGAGTTAGATCTGCTGGAATTGCCTATTCACAAACGCGTGCCCCTTTGAATGCGGCAGATTCAAGGGTTATATCGCACAAGCGCGTATCGCTCTCAAAAAGTTCTGTACGCTGGATTCTCTCTGGCTTCACCGTCGGCTTTCAGGGCTGCCGTCAACAGTTATGAGATGGATGAAGCCTTTCAAACTTTTCCTCCCCGATCTGTTATGGACAGCATCTCAAGCAAGACGTATTCGTTTCTTGGTGCTCCGTCATATGCGCTCACGGATCACGGCTGTCCCCGATCACAGCTCATCAAAGTCACGGTACGTATGATCAACCTACTTTCAGCGCCGCTGCATGTGACATCAGGATTGAGCTCGAAACCAGGGGCCGGCGAGACACTTGCCGTGCACCGCTGTGCAGGCGTGGCTGGACCCATTGACCGCCGAGCTGCAGCCGCCTGTCCATCCTGACACCATAGTTTTTTGATGCTGCTCAAAACGTAGATTGAAGCTGGCAGTGGAACCTATGATGCTACTGAAACGGCCGTGTGGATGGCCATCATGGATGAAGACGGCCGCAATGACTATATCAATGCCTTTTCCGAAGGGTTTTTGTGCGTGCTGCCAGGGTTATCTCCCCCCGCTTTGCTAGTGGCTTGTTCGGGATCACCTCTCTCACTGACTCCCTACTCAATGTTACACCAATGTGCCGTTCACAGATCGAGTGAAGTGTTGGTGGCCCATGCATGCCTGCAACCGGGAAAAACTTTCCAAGGATTGACTCTGCGAGCGACGAGCGACGATGGCTTTATGCCAGGCCTTGTGATTGCTGAACACGACGTGTACGTGCAAGCTGGTCGTTCCGCACTCTGAGCGAAAGCACAGTCGAAGCTGGCCATACGTGTGCTTTGACTGCTTGTGTGTTTTTTGCAAAACTCGATTATGTCTTTGTAGGGCGTATGTGTGGAAGACAACTTGGAGCTCAGCTTTAGAAACGGATGGTACCGCAGAACGCTCTCTGCACATTAGTGAGAGCGTTGTGTCTCAAGCCGAGCACTGCACGAATGCTCAAATTGCCGTGGACGTGACGACCGTCACCATGACTGGCACCTACGCCGACACGAGGAACGAAGTCACGATGGTTGTCACGGGCACCCAAGGCGCCTCAGATGTCATGAGCTTGGGTCAGGGCTTCTCTCTTGGCGAGAGTCGCAAGTCAGTCGAGTGTGGGCTTGTGTTACACCGTGCTGGCCTCTGCAAAAATCTGGCCCCATGATACTGTGGCTTAAATTTTGTGTTGCCTCAAACTATTGCTAGGCTCACACGCTGCGTACCAAAAAGCATCGGCACCATTGTCAGCTTTACACTGACTCTCAACAAATCGGACGATGGCTGGCTACTAGGAGTAGGTGACAGTATCTTTTACGGCACCACAAAGTCAGAAGGAGAAACTGTTCACAAGTGAATGGCCGCAAGTATTGGGCACCTCTAGACACCCCAATTTGTCATGCTCACGCGGCGGTGATGTTCCCATAGACCTTTGAAGCTGACTACGATGACGGTTCAGGCACAGATATGCCCGTCACTTGGAATTATTACTCTTGGCTCAAACAATCAACGACCACTGACTCCCAGGTTTGCTCAAACCCTATCAAACCTTGACATTTGTTCTTACCGTCCGTCGAGCGTGACTCTGCTTGCCGGCTAGAATCACCAATGTTGGTCGCAACGCCGCCATGGCTGTAGGTGACATTCTCCCTTTCCGACCACACCAATATCAATACGGATAACTGTCCCGCCAGTCGCTTTGTCATCATCTCAGCTATCTCCCGCGACTCTACAGCCGGTGGTGTTTTTGCCACCCTCACCGGTACCTTGGGCTCTGCTGCTGTACGTGGGTTGGCCTTGGCACCAAATTCTGCCTATATACTCTAGCATGCGGGAAACAGTCTTGCAAGCCAGGTGATGTCATCAGTCTGATTGCATTTGATTCTCCTCCCGTTCTTCTCAATAGACCATTCGATTGGCACATGCTTTTGGAACCTCCAATGACAATGTGCTTTTTGCGCGATGCTTGGATCGACCAATTGGAAACTTTGTTTCCATGACCCTGAGCACATCCCCGGACAACCAAGACGGCTGGGGCTACGGCGGTGCCTCGCTCACGTACGACCCTTTCCCCTCGGCCTTTGTGGCATCATGCTAGGCACGGCAACGAGCGAGACGAGCTTGCTGTACTCATTTGACCGCCGGTGCTCGTGACGTGTCTTTCAAATCGGGTAGCTTCCAAGGCTCGCTGTTTCAATGGCCCTCGCGCTCTGTGACTCTGTCTCCATCAAATGTACGGTCGTGACGATAGCGAAATATGCCTCACTCATTCATCGCAGGCGTTTTGCGACAAGGATCGCCTATAACCTTTTTTTTTGTTTTTTTTCTTTCCCTTGTCTGCCTCGCGCTTTAACGCAAATAATACCCAGCCGAAGCTGGTTTTACAGGCCTCGGAAACGGTCACCAACCCAGCCAATATCAATGACTTGACAACGACATCCTGTGAGCCCAACCCTTGTGATGGCGGCACAGTTTGCACGCAGCCCTCCCGAACCTGGCATCGCGTATACCAATCTGACTTTAGCATGGTACGTGCAGGCCGAATCCTGGTGCTTTTGAGTTATTGCGCTGCATCTCATCACACACCAATGGGGCTTGACGATGCAAATGATTGGTTGACATGTGAAAAAAAAACCCCCTTGGCTTGTTGCGCAGAACAACGATGGATGGCTGGCCGACAACGTTCAAACGCAGGATGCTGTGCTCTCCCCCGTCACTTGCGGCTCCCTTGGCCCGGTCTTGGGCATCACGCAAATGGCTGCGACCTCGGTCCTGTCGCGCACTACCACTCAACTTCCTCCACACAATTTGCTCCGTGTTGTACTCACCATCATCAAGGCTGACTCCTTTGATAATGAAGCCATTTTTCTTGAGGTCGATGGTGTTCGGGTGCATTCTGAAACGTATTCGGGTGATCAAGGCACCGCTGAATGTGGTGCGTCTATCATAACCCACTCGAGCAACCCCAACCCGTTTGGAGCATTCGTCTAAAAAAAACATGCCACAGCCGCTCCCCGCTCCCACGCTTACGTGGCGCGTGTTCTGCACCAACAGGAGCCGATGAGACTTACAGCCGTGAGCTGCAAATTCCCATTGACATCACGTTGCCCCACACCGGTATGTCTGATCACAGCCACCCAACCTTGGACCGACCGGATCAGAACCTAGTCCTCGACGGATCAACCTCACAAAGCACACCCACCTCTCCTTGTGCGTGCCCTTGCTCCATCAATACCTAGATGCTCAGGTGACATTGGTGGTGTCGAGCACCCTCGACTCCAGTGCCGAGGATGAAAGCTTTGGTGTGCAAGCAGCCGCGTTGTGGGTAGCCAACGACACGTTGACTCCGTTTGTGAAGCAAACGTTTGAAGACAACAACTTTGCTGGTTGGTCGGCCATCAACACATACCATGGCAACGCCTTGAGCGTAACTGCGTGTGGTGATTACGGCCAAGTGAGTGGCATCAGGCCGGCGCTCGCCAGCCTTCATGATTTTGACTTGATACAAGAGCACAGTACGAAGCATGCAGTGGGCGGCTTCTTTTGTTTCACGCCCTGTTGGCATGCCCAAACAGATTCTGGGTGGCTATGAACAACTCGGACTGGATGCCATGCTCACCCGTTGCCTCAGTAACATGCCAGCACATTCGGAACTGCTGCTTGAGATTGACGTGCTTGCCATCGACTCATTCGACAAGGAGAATATCGTTATTCTGCTTGATGGCGAGGAGATTTGGGATTCGGGTGCCATCAACCGCGAAACTCACCCACTGGGTAGTTTTCAGTGTGGGCGTGGCTCAGTCAGCAACCCAGATCAATACTGGTGGCGTGACGTCGAAATTCCCGTGCGCTTGCTCGTGCCACACTCAAAGAGCAACGCTCAAATTGTTGTCAAAAGCACCATCGATGGTGAAGCAAACGATGGTGCGTAGCTATACTGATACGTTGACGGACACTGGCTTGGTTCAGCTGGTGCAGAAACATAACTCCGCGTATGTGCTCTGGTAGAATCCTTTGCAATCAAAGCGTTCCAAGTGGCCACGCTGGCCACAGACTTCTTCTGTGGTGGCCAGGTCTACACGCCACCCTCACCCGACATCGCACTTCCCAAGACTCCACTCGCTAGCTACGGCGATGGATGCAGCATGTATCCGGACTATAGGTCAGCCCTATCGTACAGAGTTGGTGCTTCACTGTGACCATGGCGCGTCGTGGAATTCTAACGATTAGGCACAATGCACGCGTGGCTTGTAGCTCGGATATGCGCTGCAGCGACTGCAGCCTCAATTATGCTTGGCAACAAGTAGACTTCCAGGATTTCACTGATATGCAAGTGCACGGATGGACCTCCACCTTCAATCCAGGCTGCAATGGTGCGCCACTTCCGTGCTACCTTCTCTGTTACCTCAATTCCAAGTTCTCCATCACACCTGGCGAAGATGTGTGGGCTTGAAGGATGGCGTTGTGTTTGCCCCCCCCCCCCCCCTTTTTTTTCTTCTTTTTTTTGCCTTGACTCGTGTCCTCATTCGTTCTTGCACGATGCCCAGGTCTGACTGTATCATCATGTGGCATCTACGGGGCTGTCTTGGGAGGGGCCAATCAACTCATGCGGGGTGCGACCATCTCGAAAACTTGGACAAACCTGCCTACACATTCCAAGGTCTTGATTGAGCTTGAGGTGCTGACGATTGATTCCTGGGACAACGAGCATATCATGGCCTCCATCGATGGCAAGCCAGTCTATACCAGCGTACCCATCAATCGCGGCAGTGCCTTCCCAGGCCAACAAGCTTGTGGCTGGAATTTGGTGAGGCAGCAACTTCGAGCTGTGCTTGGCGGCGCTTGTTTGCGGTTATTTATCGTTTGCTCGTTTTGTGTGCGCGAAGCGAAAAAGCGCATTGTCTTTCTCGCCTGAAAGCACTGCTAAAGGTAGTGTCCGCCTCAACCCTGAAGCTGTCAACTCATGAGTCGTGGCACGTTGCTATCCGCCCTCTTGCCTCGTTGGGCCTTGTCTCCTAGGGTGCCGCGTACACACGCGAGTCACCAATCGTACTGCGCTTTGAAGTATATCACACAGCCTCTAGCATGACATTACTGCTTACCTCTGATCTGTCTCACTTTGGCATCGGTATGTGCCCCGCGGCCATCAGTTGAACTGGAATCCACGAGCCAAACTGTGACTCATTCTTCATGGGTACTGTGGACATAGATGAAAGTTGGGGTTTGTCCCAGTACCGCATCTCTACGGCCAATACGCCCATCGCCTTTGACGCTACCGTGGTGGCCCAATCCTCCGCAACTGAATTTGCCCGTTTGTGGGAATCAACCGGCAGCAAGACGCTTGGCAGCTGTGATGCGACCTCTGTCTTGCAGCCATCCTCGGTGAGCAAGCATTGCTTGATGAGTGGATTGCCCGCGAATATACCCGTGGGATCGTGCAATCGCCGACCAACGTCCAACGCAGCTCATGTTGCTCGTTCATTTCTACCTTTCCTTCCTGCCCTTTCTGCCCCTCCCCCCCCCTTGTGGATTGGGAATTCCACACAGGTCTCGGACCAAATCTTTGTGACCATGACCAATCTGGTTCCGCACGACTTGCTGGAGCTTACCCTCACGATAAGCGGGGCTGATGCTACCGTTTTAACGGTAACACTAGACGACCTTGTCTTCATGTACAATCTCGCTGACCTTCCAAAAGCCGGGGAATGTGGGACAGACACCTCAAGGTCATTGCGCACGTTGCAAATGCGCTTTCCGCACCGTGGGCACTTGCTCCGCCTGCGCCTCTCGGGCAGCGCAGTATTTGGTGTGCGCGATGTGGTGCTCAAGGCCAATGCATCTCCACTCGAGTGCGCCTGCGCAGCTGGCACCTTCTTGTCGCGCGATGGAGCGTGCTCTGTCTGCGACACCACCTGTGCTGAATGTAGCGACGCTGGACCAAGTGCCTGCTCCGCGTGTCACCCCGGCGAGTACTTGCAGGCTGGAGGTTGCCTGGCATGCAGCGAATGCAGCGGCAACACATTCCTGCAGCAAGAATGTACCGCCGATCAGGATGCCATTTGCGAGGACTGTCCGGTGGCCTGCGCTCTGTGCACGGGCACCACAGCGTTGGACTGTGTTCATTGTGCAACGGGGTATGAGCGGGACATGGACACGGGCGCGTGCGTGCCTCAATGTAGCGCAGGCCAGTATCTGAACGGTGGCTCGTGCCAGTCCTGCACCTCGCCAAACTGTGCTGTCTGCAACGCAACAGCGTGTCAAGAGTGCGCCGATGGTTTTGTTCTGCTTAACGGAGACTGCCGGGCCAGCTGCCCAAGCGGCATGTACGTAGACACCGTTGCGGGCCACTGCCGTGCATGTGCAGCAGGATGTGGCTCGTGCACGGGGCCCACTCGTGGCGAATGCCAAGCCTGCGCTGTCGATCACTACCTGCAATGGGCAGGCTCGGCAGAGGGGCGCATCTGCGTGACTGGGTGCCTGGATGGATACTACGCCGATAATAGCACGATGGTCTGCCGTCGTTGTGAAGCAAGCTGCAGCACGGGCCAATTTGCCAGACAAACAAGCTGTATCAACCCTAGCCTGGACTGCCAAGCATGTCATAGCAGCTGCAGCACGTGTTCCGGCCCGGCCGCCACGGACTGTACAGCATGCCCAACCAATCACTACCTGACCGCCACGGGCGAATGCCAAGCTTGTGCAGTGCAGTGTGGCCCTGGACAGTACCTCGCAGGCACTTGCACTAGTACTACAACGCCAACGTGCCAGGCGTGCAGCGACGGGTGCAGTGATTGCACGGGTCCCAACCCATCCGATTGCCGCGCGTGTGCTGCTGGGCAGGTGCGCTTTGTGACCGACTGGGAGGAGGGCACATTCCACTGTCTCGAGCAGTGCCCAGCGCACTTTTATAGCAACCAGGGCACTTGTGCATTGTGTAGCTTTGGCTGTGGGTCTCGCGAATATGTCAATGCTTCATGCACGGCTACCACTGACACGCAGTGCCATTCGTGTGACGAGAGTTGCGCTTCCTGCTTCTCACACGACCAGTGCTCGAGTTGCCCGGCCGGGCACACGTTGGACATGAGTACGGGCCGCTGCCGTCTATGCCGCGCCACGTGTGGAACCGGTTATTATCTGGCAGGGCGCTGTAGTTCGCACGCCGAGCCGGAGTGCCTCATGTGTGACTCAAGCTGCCAAGCTTGCGCCAATGCAACACAGTGTCTGTCTTGTCATTCTGGCTATGAAGTCAGTACCGGTGGGCTGTGCACGCCCATAACACCCAAGCCGGACGGCAACGCCGCCTCTTCTGGTTCTGCTTCGGGCAGCTCGTCCAACAGCGGTGCCTCTCAAGGCGCGATGATTGCAGCCATCTGTGTGGCTGTGCTGGCGCTGCTGTTTGCCGCCTTTGTCTATGTGCGCAGTTCACGTCAGAATCATGGTGTAGACAAGAGCTTCGTGCCGACTGGAATGGACTTTAAGCGGGATGCCATTGCCAATCCCCTCTACAGCGACGGCCCACGGGAGGGCATGAACCCCAGATACGATAACCAAGAGTCCATGTTTCACAATGATGCTAATGAAGATCCAGCCTACTCGGAGTTGCCAGGCATGACTGCTCCAGCGTTTGAAGAGCGAGGCTACCTCGACGTAACTGGCGGGGCTGGAGATGCTGGAGGATATGGAGATGACGATGCATTTGATGGTTCTGATGGCGATGAACCAAGCTATCTTCACGTTGCCGGCAATGAGCAGGACGAGGATGACGAGGTAAGCCATTTTGGCAGTGTCAATGGCCCGCTGCTGTCCGTGCGCGCACAACAGACAGCTCATGGGCGTTTGATGGTTTAACTCACGTTTGATTTGCACGGCAGCACATGGGATTTTGATCGCAGCCAGCAAGGCAGATGCTCCAGTTGCGATTCTCCCTTTTGCCAGTGTGTTTTAGTGTGGCGTGTCAAGTACTGGCTGATTAGCCATGTCGACCTGTTTAAACTCTCGTTTTGTGCCAAGCATTATTCCATTGCAAGGGCATGATTGTGCGTGCTCTGATGTCCAAACTTTCTTGATTTTCCTGACGGCCGCGGCCCCTCTGATGTGTCGTGCTCTGGTCATGGCAAGCTGTCTTGTACATAAGTTGCAGAGGGGTCGAACATGGCTGATTCACTTCGACGTATGGGCAACGCTGGATGTAAATTGAATTTCGCACAAAATCTCCCTTGTCTCTATTTGACAACACAACACAACACAACACAACACAACACAACACAACAACATTTTTTTGGTGTTTTGCAAGCAAGCAGGCAAGGCGGGTGTTTGATTTTGTTCCAAAACTGACGCCCCCTTTCAACGCTGCCGCGCTTGGTCGTGGGCGGGAAACTGGGCCATCTTGATCATCGCGGCCATGCAGAGGCCAGTACAGGTACACTGCTCGAGCGCTCGGCCACTGGGTTTTTTTTTGTTTTCGTATTTTGTTTTTGAATGAGGCATCGCCAATGTTACTTGATTGCACTAATCTATAAAATGGATGGGCGGTGCATCTTGGTGCACGCGATCAGCCCGGTACCCAGTTTGACGAGTTCTTCAACGACCTCGAACTCGCGGAAGAACGTGAGCGCAATGACATTGAGCTCCTGCTTGAAGCCGAACGGTACGCAAAGCCACATGCCGTGTCATTTGCGCCGCTTGACCAAAATTAGCGTTTTGGCAGTTTTGCTAGATTGATCTTTGTGCAACTAGACGCGGCTTGCTGGATGAAAATTGCGACAAACTGCTGTCCGAGGCGAGGCGACGAGGCTTGGCTCCGCCTGCACCTGGCTCCGGGGTGAGTACGGTCGTTGCCACGCTATCGCGTGGGAACAGCTTCCCACAACCTGGCTCCTCTAGTCTCCGTCTCAGAGAGCCGACTGGCATTGACATAGGAGCCTCTCGAGCGCTACGAAGTGCAATACAATGGCTCGGTGTCTCTATTTGGTATGCCTGTGTCGCACCAATGCCTCTGACAAGAGGCATGGCTGCATGTCGAGTTGCATGCACGAACTCATAAGCGCGAAGAAGATCTGGGGGGGCAGAAGTACAGGCCCATGCGCCGATCGGACTCTCCTTGACTCTCTCCCACCTGCTCCCGCCCACAGACATTCCGATGCATCGCCTTCCAAGCCTTGATGAGGTGCAAGGTGGGGTACGCCGGATCACCCACAATCCGCGCATGAACTGTGAAAGCATTCTGCTCTTGCTGGTACGGTGCGATCGTCTCGAGGCCTGGCCGGGCTGTCACTTGCGTGTCAAAGGCCCGTCTCACAATTCCAATGGGAGGGAATGAAATTAGGTGTATCCAGACGTACTGCGCGTGTATGATGTGCTGGATGAACCAGAGCTGGAAGCTTCAGCGCGCCGTCGCACGTTGGCGCGCATGGCCTCAATGACCCTGCGTAAATTTACAGGGGGCCGACGAGAACGCCGCTCAGTGGACCGTGACAACTTTAATCTGGACCAGGTGGGTTGCTTTGACCGCCCCAATTGGTGCACGCTCGTCAATTCATGTCTGAGACCTGAGCTCAGATGTGTCGCTCTTCCTTCATTAATAGGCAACGCTGGTCGTGGAACACATGCGCGAGTCAATCCGCACCTTTGTGGCTTACAACCGCACAGTGGCCTGTGTAACACAGGTCTGTACTCGCTGAGCGTATGCCTGGCAGTGCACATATCTGGCGGTTGTGCGCATCCGCGTTGCATCTGGCAACAAATGTACGCTGTCTCTCAACGGGGGGTGCGGTTGATGCGTTTACAGGATCGAGACGACATCACTGGCAAGGACAAATACATGGTTCATGCCTACCGCTTCCAAGATCGACGCAAGGTGAGCTTCTAAAAGTTGGCGAGGCTTCTGATGGCGGCATGTGCATGCTTGCCGAAGAATCAACCAACCCACCGCAACCGCTCCGCTGCCAACCCGATGCCATATGATCGATGGTCTGGCGGCGGTCTGTCTTATTCCTCTGCGGTGCTTTGACAGGCGGCAGAAATTGCCAACCATCTGCGCCAGAGTCATGAGGGTCTCATTGAGCGCCGTGAGCTGCGCGAGGCCTCGCGTATGCCTGTCGTGGTTCGTGTTTGTCTGCGCATGGCAATACCACCGTGGGATGCTTGTGACCAGGGACGATCGGTGAAGTTTGACGGCAAAGAAGTAAGGCCGGCTCCCGACTCAACCTCATTGTCTTGTGATCGGCTGTCCGTTGGCAGCGCGCCACGCTTGATCGGCTGCCCAATACGGCCGGCGATTTTGGCATTGGCTTGGTTGGTGCCAAGGTCAAGTCCGAGGCCACAGACGGTCAGTCTGGCTGCTTGAAGTTGAGAGTTGTGCGGGAAGGCAAGGGAACAAGGCTGCCAATCCAAACTGCTCCGTCCTTTTTTTTTTTTTTTTTTTTTTTTTTTTTTTTTTTTCCACGTTCGTCCTGAACGCTGGCTTGACTTGCCCCGCCCGTGAAGGTGTATACATTGCTTCCATTGCACCCGACAGTCCGGCAGCTCGACATCCAGACTTGGCTGTGGGCTTGCAGGTGATCAAAATCAACGCGCAGAGCGTCGAGGACTATACCATGGCTGAATGCCGGGATCTGCTGCGGGCCAGCGGTGACTGCGTTGGTAGGACGCGCGTACTGTGGTGCACAAACCGTGCTGTCCAAGATTCGCTGGCATGGGCAAGTCGGGCCTGACTCGTTGGTTTTGTGCGGTTGCTCTTGACGCCCTAGTGCTTGATCTTCAAGAAAATCCACACGGCTTCTCCTTGTATCAGTACCGCGCTGGTTCTTTACGGCCGCAGGTATGTCGAGTGTACTGTTGGGCCCTTGATCGCGTTGATCGTGCGTCCTGATCAACGCGCTTTGCGCGCTTTTCTTTTTTTACTTTGCTTTGCGTCTAGGTTCGGTTTGGCACAGATTCCAATGGTGACTCACAATCCTCTTTGGAAGACCTTATGAACGGTTGGTCAGGCGGAGCAGCGGGTGTGCTTCAAGTCGAAGATATTCTTACGACTCGTCATCTTATGCTTCGCATCACATTTGATTTTATCTTGGGATTGCTGGCAGACATGAAAACGTTTAGCTCAGATGCCAACTTTACCAACCCTGTCACAATCGTGGACGGCCGCGCGGTGGTCAACGACTAACAAGCAAGCGCAACCAAGGGCGCCTTGGGCTCCCCTGCTATTTCTCTACGGAAACGCGTGACGACAGCAACTCATGTTTATCAATCCACAGTCACAAGAATGCCTGTTCCCGCGCGCTCGCTCACTCACACACACGCACACACACTGAAGAGAACGCGGGCGGAAGCGCGCATGAGGATGGACAGACAAGCCAACCCATAGACCGGTCCATAGCAAGCAGCAAAATTGCGCACAGAGAGAGAGAGAGAGAGCAACGGACGAGCACGAACCAAAGCGGTGTGCGTTCTCAAGAAGCATGCAAGGCAAGGTCATGCAATGGAAAAAGTTTCAACAAACAAACAAACAAAAGAAAAAGTGAAGGAAAAGAAAACGCATGCATCAAAGAGTGTGTGTGTCATACTAGATCTATGAGAGACAGAAGCCTCTGCGAGAATGTGCAAGTCTGCGATTGCAAGGTGCAAGCAGAGATGGCACAAGGCTGTGATGCAAAAGCAGAGACAGAGAGAAGGATTGAGACAAACCAACTGTATTATTTCTCACGTTGAGACCGACAGACGGCAGCGACGAGCGAGTGTGACAGCCCTGAGGCACCGAAGCCCGTGACACGCTTGACGCACGGTCATCAACCACATCGATCATGGCAACTGCTGCGCGACCCGTGCAGGTCATGGACCCAACCAAAGCGGCACCTCCACCCACTGCCACGCTCTCCCTCCAGCAGTTGATCACCAGCTTTGCCCGCAACGCTGTCTTCACTCCCATCAACAACGTTCGCACGCTGATTCAGGTAAGCCTCCCCCTTCCCCGGCCCGAGCTTCGTGCTTGCTTGGCCTTTCACAAGCCAGTTCGTGCGCTTGGTACATCATTTGAGTTGAGGGCCGCCATGGCCAATCCTCCACTTGGCTCTCACGGTCAAGCGTGATGTCCTCCCATCTGACTTGCCTCCGCGTTCTCGCCTTCTTTGCCGCCTGGCCCTATCCGTCGCTCCGGTGGCCCTGGATAGATTGGCTACGAAACGCGCCCAGAGATCAAGTCCCACAGCATCTGGGGCACTCCCGGCTTCCGCCGTGCCAGCCTTTACCAATACTGTACGTCGAATCACGTGCCTGGCCCGCAATCGGGACGGGACGGGACCGATGTTGGCCACGCACCTATTCTTTTCCCGCACTCCTTGCTTGTTGCGTTCGTACCTAATCCCGCACCGTCCTGTTTCGGGCAATCTAGGCAAGGACTTGTATGCAGCTCATGGATACTATGGCCTCTTTTGCGGATGGTTTCCTCGCGCCTTTAGCGGCGTCATCTTCGATATCGTGAACAAGAACGTGGCCGATCGTCTGTGGATCACCCAACAGCAGGTTTGCTTCTGCCAATTCTTGCCGGAGCCCACCTGTATGCTGGCTCGGGCTAGACTTACTTGGTCACTGCCTGCTCATACCATTCATGCCTGTTAGTCCAACGGTGACAAGAACACGCTGCGCTATTGTGTTACCCACATTGGCATTGACATTGTTGCGGGCTCCATCGCCGCTCTCGTGACTCAACCTCTTCGCGGTACGAAAGCGACTACCACCCAGTCGTGCCGAGATACGATTGGAGCAACACCTTTCATGGGTGTTTGAACTGTCGTTCCGTTCCTTTTCTGCATCCGGTTTGGGCGCCCCTCATGCTCATGAGATCCCGTCAAAATCCACAAACTTCAATTGGCTAGTGATTGCCACTCGCACGGTGGCTCAAATGGTGGCGGGCGAGGACCTTTACGGCAATATTTTCCAATCAATCGCTTACATTATCAATCACGAGGGCTGGCAAGGCCTCTGGAGGTAAGACCATCGTTCCGCCGCGTTTGCGCCCCGCGTGACGAAGCCTTGATGGCGCTGTGATGGCGCCTGGGCTTCCTTCATTCCCATGGGGAACTTCCCCCATCCCTGTACTCACTGACCCTTCTCCTGGCCTTTGGCAGCGGTATCTCCGCCAAGCTGACCCTCGAGGTGGTGCGCGCGACTGCCGTTGGACTGATCTTGTATGCCATCCGCAAGACGGGTATCGTTCGCAATCTGCTCACGGTGCGTCACGCGGTATCTTACACCATGTTGGCCCAGGGCAAGTTGACATGTTTCGCGCAGAGTTTGAATGCTTATGACCAATTGTTTGCGCCATTTATGCAATAGGACAATGTCTCACAAATGGCCAACATCAACGTGTCCACGCTGACGGACGTCTATGAGAATACCGCCGCCGTGGTTGGTACAGTTTCTTAAGCACTAGCACTCGTTGTTGCCAGGGCGCCTACTGACCAGCGCCCATGTCCACTTGCTCATCACGCCGCTTTTTCCTGCTCTGGGGATTCCAGTCCATTGGCAGCTACATTTTCCACCCCTTTGATGTCATCGCTACCATGCTCATGCTCCAAAACTCTGGGTATGTGATGCGCTTCAACACGACCCGACTTTTTATTGCGCCAGTCTCAGCTCATCCTGGGTTTTGTTTTGTTTTTTTTGTTTTTTGTCGGTTTTTTTCTTGTTCTCCTTAAACCATAGTTTGACTCTGGCACGCTCTCCTTTCTTGCCCCTGGACGCCACCATTCATGGTTGCTGGACCTTCTTGCGCACGATGGTATGCGTGTTTGATGGCGCCCAAGGCCCCAGCTTCCATAGCTTTGCTCATTGAACATCTGTTGTAACTGGATACAATTGCAGGATGGCAATGGTGGTCGCGGCTTGCGCCGTGGTGCTAGCAACTTGAGCCGCTTTTACAAGACACCTTGCCCGGCCTTCACCCTGACTACGGCCTTGGCCATGTAAGTACTGGTCTCTTCAGAGAACAAAGTTCAGCAATCAGATCTGACGATCTAGCGCGGTCATCTTGCTCTTTGGTTGAACGAGCCTGCCGACAAGTGACCATCTGGGCGAAGCCAGAAGTGGTACATGCAAGTCCTGGCCCATCCTTTAACCCGATGGCCCAATCTATCAAATATCTGTATCGATTATGACATTGACTTTGTGCACGTCGAAGGGAGACAAGGCAAAACGGCCTCGCAAGAAGACAGGACTGTCACAAATGAACAACGGAACAAAAAAGAAAGAGGCGGGGGGAAGAGGGGGGTCTGCGAGAAAGAAATGGGGAGAGCCTACTTTTGGCTTTCTCAAGGGAGCGTGCTGCAGTGCATCCAACAACAACAACAACAACAACAACACCCCCCTCCTCCCCCCCCAAAAAAAAGGAATTAGAAGAAGAAGAAAAGAGACACAAGAAGACAGTGCAAAACGGTCAAAGAGTAAAAAAACACGACCCGCGTGCGATGCACTCGTAGAGGAGTCCCATAACACCTGCAAGCACAGCTTTCCCACGTGACCTTATACGTATTCACGTCCGCCTGTGGTTCCAATATGTGTCGTAGAAAAAAGGGGAATGACTTGGAAAGGGTTTCGGCTGGCGTTGTTCGCGACAGAAACCAATGTCTCATTGAGACTTGGTAGCCTTGGCTGCCTTGTTTACCTTGGCCAGGGTCGGGTCTTTGTCCACGGCACCAGCTGCATGACCATCCTTGGAAAGAGAATCAACCACAGGACCGTTGTCCTCGACCTTGATAGGGTCAATGCACCAAATAGCTGCGGCAACCCAAAGCATCATGACGAGGCAGAGCTCAACCAGATACAGGATACCGTAGAAGATGGGATTGATGCGCTCGCGGCCAATGCGAGCACTTTCGATAATCTTGTCCTGAAGAGAAATGGCTCGGGGATCCGGGATGGGCTGTGCATCAAACTTCATGGTGAGGGCTTCCAAAAGCGTATCGTGGGCGGCCTGCGTATCGTCATAGTTGATGAGGAGGCCGTTGATGCCGTGGCGGATCTGCTGCGTGAAGCCCTTGGCCTTTTCCACAACCACGGGGGTACCACAAAGCAGGGCCTCGTGAATGGTCATGCCATACGTTTCAAAGTCCGAGGCAGACACAACAAGGTCGGCGGCCTTGTAAAAGAGGCGCAACTCGGCCTGCGTCACCATGCGGCTGATGACGACGACGCCTCGTTGGGGATCGTGTTCCTTCATGAGGGTTTCACGAAGCGCACCGTCGCCGACCAGAACAAGGATGGCATTTTCTGGCCGAGCCTTGAGCAGGAGGTGAATGCGCTTCTCGTCGCTAAAGCGGCCAGCAAAGAGGAGCATCGGGCGGTCAACTTGACCGCTGGAAAGCTCGCGTCGCGTGGCAGCAATGGCCTCCGGGGGGTCGTTGGCTTTGAACACGTCCGTCTTGAATCCTTGGTCAATGTAGCTTTCGACTGAGTAATTGTGGCTTTGAAGGTACTCGAGGTAGTCACGGGAGGTGGTGAGCACGCAGGGGATGAGACGGGTGCTGAAGGCAAAGACCGCGTGGGTGGCCGGGGTCGTGATGGCGACCTCGGGACCAGAAAAGTGGAATTCAGAGAGGCGCAGAAAGTTGGTATGAAGGACCCAAATCATGGGTTTGGCGTGGCGGGCGCAGTAGCTGGCAAGCCAAGGCAAAAGGGTGGTTTCCGGACAGACCACAATGTCGGCGCGGTTTACGGCTTGTTTCACAATGGCCATGTTGGCCCAGGAGGGGCGGATGAGACGAAACTCGGGGTCCACGCGGATGTGCACGTAGTCGAGGCGGCCATTCCAGGTGGACAGCACCTCACATTCAACACCCTCCATGGCGTTGAGCTTGTCGTGCAGCGTTTTATACGTCACGGCCACGCCACCGCCGACGTGCAACCCCGGCGGGTACGCCGGAGTGATGACAAGTACACGCATGATTGGTCGAGAGAGGCGTCCAAACGTTGCTCAATGAGTGAGTGAGGATGTGTGGTAGTGCAAGGAGGGGGAAGAGACGGTTCAATCACAACCAAGGTTGGAGCGCAGACGGGCGAGGCGAAGGGCACTGCCCAGCACCACCACTTTCCTACGACACGACCATGGGCAACAAGACAAGATGAGAAACTTGTGCGCTGACAGCAGAATGACAAGCAAGCAGCGAATGACCGAGTGGGCCACAAGAAGGACAGGACGAGGGAGAAAAGTGCGAGCAGAGCGGATGGCGCATTGGCGTGTATTGCCCGACAGCAGAGCAGGCGGCGTCCAGACCACAAGCTGATGCCGCCAAAACGACCAGCCACCAAAAGCCCACACACACACACACACACACACACACACACACACACCAACCGCAGCACACGCACACGGAGCGAAAGGGGAGTGGGACAAAAGAGATTGCCAGAGGCTCGGTCCAAGAGCCGAAGCGCCAAAGACCCAGACCACGACACACACGCAGGCCACGAGCCAGCCCGCCAGGCAGGCAGCGGGGGTCAGGCAGAGGAGGGACGCACAAGCACAGGCACAGGCACAGGCACCGGGGGGGGTCTTTAGTTTCAGGAAGCAGAGTTCCTTCTCTCTCCCTCTCGCTTTCTCTCTTTTTTTTGTTTTTTTACCTCAAATGTGCCTTTCAACGTTCAAAGTCGTAAGGGAAAAAAAAAGTGGAAAAGTTGATGTTGTTTTGTTGCTGTTGCTGTTGTCAGCTTGCTCAAAATTAAATTTTTTCAGCTGAATAATGGCTTGTTCTACTTGGAATTTTTTGGGTTAAGAGGTGTGGGGGGGGGGCGGGTGCTGGCTGGGGAAGGGGAGGGTTGGCTGGTATGCGACATGAGATAGGTGCTGAGAGCCGAATTGAAGCAGGAGGCCATGGGCTGGATAACATATCCATTCCGCGTTTGAGATGAGGCGCTGCCGCTTTAGCCCCACCCCAGCGGGGGTTATTTGTGCTTGGCTTGTCATCACCATCACACGTCAACCTCTCTCAACCAAACCAACACACTTTTCACGTGGACACACACACACACACACACACACACACACACAGCACGCTACATGTGCGAAGAGTGACGCAGCAGCATCACACGCTATGGCAAGTAAATGTGTGATTAAAATCACACTTTGATAGTATGGCAAGCTTTAGGGGAATCGGGCCACGGCAATCTCCACCATATCTGCCACAACGCCGGCAGCCGTAATGTCGGCGCCAGCACCACTGCCCTGGATCACCAAGGGGGTGCTCGAGTAGATGTCCGAGTGGACCTAGATGGGAAGAAAAAAAAATTTAGTGCCAGGCTCTTCCTTCCAGCCCCCACGCTTTTGGTTGTGGCCATCAATGCCACCACTATGGAATAACATACGTTGAGGATGTTATCGGTGCCGCTCAGGGCACCAATGGGGCTGCTCCGGGGCACAGGACGCAGGCCCACTTGGCACCCCTGTGGCCCAGCCTCGGCAACATAGCGCAACACGCAGTCTTCTTTGGCAGCCGCCTCCTGTTGCGCAGCAATGTCGGCATCCAGCTCGCCAATTCGCGCCAGGAAATCAGCCACACTCACATCGCTCAGCGAGGCCGGATACAAGCCCTGCGAGCCGCAAGTCCAGTGCAACAGATCCCACCGAGCCGAGCAGATCAGCCCCGAAACATTCACCGAGTGTACTGCGGCAACGCTGACCAGGCTACTGTGACAACGCCTGTGTCCTAGCCCCACTTCTCACTCACCTGCACATCAACGTCGCTCATTTCCAAGGACCAGCCACAAACACGGGCCAGGATAAGGGCCTTGCGGGCCACGTCCATGCCACTCAGATCATCACTATCAGCGAGAGCAAAAATCATCAACAGACACCATATGCAACGCGTCACCTTGGAGGTGCAAACAAGGAGCCGGCACAGGTTTGACGCACCGCGGATCTGGCTCCGTATAGCCCAGATCGTAAGCCTCTCGCACCAGTTCACTCAGCGATCGCCCCTTATCCAGGCCAGCGGTAATAAATCCCAACGTCCCACTAAATGTGCCTGCACAGACAACAAAAATTGGGCAATCTGACTGAGATGCAGGCAACCATGGGCTCGGCCTTGGTAACGCACCTTGAATGCGATGCACGGCATCTCCCGCCGCCGCAACGCGGCTCACTGCCGCAACAAAGGGTGACCCCGCCCCCACCGAAGATTCAAACCGACACCTTGACGCCAGTATACGCAAAGTCCGAGGTCAGCTGTGAAACACGCATGACAGCACCAAGCAGCCGCATATTGCGGCTTTCCTCCTCCCCGACGCGAATTCGTACCGGCCCGTCACGTCCGGTCCCGTGAGTTGCTGAAAGGTGGACCAGTCTCCCGTCAAAACCTTCTTGTTGGCAAACACGACGCCAGCGCCTCGCTGGATGGCCTCAATCAACTGGCCTACATGGTTTGTGCACCAGAGCCCAAAATCAATGCCACTACCATCCACACGGGTAATCAGCCGCTCCTGCGGTTTTGGTCGTACCACTGATGCGATCTGTCGCCGTGCAGTCAACAAAGATGTTACCGCTTGACGCCAGTGGTTCCAGATGCTGAGCAATGTCTTCGCTAGTGCTCACACCCTGAGCGTGTTGAGCCAGCGACTGTGGAACATGACGTAGACCAGTGAACGCACAGCAGATCGTCGTTAGGGTACATAGTCACATACGACCCAGCAATGGAAGCCACGTACGTTGCCCTGCTGCTTAAAGTCGGCAATGGCGCCGAGATTTGCGAGCGCTTCTGCATCAAAGAGTGCTCCTGTCACGCAGAGCGAGAAGTTAGCCCAACGAGCCGAGCACTGACCAGCACCGGCGACAGCGGTGCATACGACGCACCACGACTGTCCACAATGGCACGCAAGTCAAAGCGCAGACCATAGCGCTTGGCATGGCTAGCCTGCACAGAGTGGAGTCCCGGCAGCACAAGGTGAGGGCCAAAGCACTGGTCGTGTCGCGAATCTGATGAGAGTTGAGCTGCCACGCACCGCGCAGTCCTGGAGCCGCTTGCCGACCGTAAGACCAACGTTTCCGCAGCCAAAGAGCACGACACCAATTGATTTGGCCATAGCAATGGTGTTGCCAAGGGGCTTTGTCACACGCCAACAGCAACAGGGATCACCACGCGACACGATCTTGGGCGCAGGTGCCGTGAGACAGCACAGCACAAGTCGATCCAAATTCAGTGAAAATGAGGAAATTCAGGAAATTGCAAATTTTGTGTTGTTGTTTGGGTTCTTTGGCTGCTGGAATGTGAAAGCTTGTTGTGGTAAAGTTCAGAACCCTTGTTATAACAACAAGGGATGCCCAATGTTCTTATTTTCTCTTTTGTTTGTGTGGTAGTTTTGCCGTTGGTACTAAAAGGTTCCTGTGGCATTTCGAAGGCTGCCGGCATGGCATGAATGTCCGGAGGATGAATTAAGAGTACAAAGTCACAATGGCATGGTGTGGAGGAAAGGAAAGCGAGGCTCTTGAGGAGCGGCCTGGTGTTTGTTCTTTGTTCGCTTGACCCGGAGGCCATCTCAAGGCCTCATCAAACAACATGATGAGCCACACACCCGCCAGGAAGCGTCGTGACGGAACGAGGAAATCAGAGGCTGAAACCACGGCCCGTCCAGAATTTGGATTTATACAATGAGTCATGATCTGACAAGCCTATTCCACGGCAAGCTTGCCATCAAAGCTGCTCAGGCACACCGCAAAGCCCTAGATGAAGATTGAAATGAAAACATGAAGGCACGGTGGCGCAAAGTCGAGTTGGTGAGTATCTGCAAGCCAGGCGGGGTAGAGTCGTGCGCTAGGGTTCCGCGAAGCGCACCTGCAGAATTGACATTGGGTGCTGGACGTCCATGGTGAAGCGGTTGGCACCGATGCGACCAAACTGCAAGACAATGTATTCCTCTACCTCAGTTGGCGCACATCCCGCCAGAGGTGAGAAACCTAAGATCGCTCAGCCCCTCAACAGCAAGTGGTTGCAAAACTAAACGACATACCATTGCTCTCGTGCACAAGCTGAAAGTTTTTCACCGATGCTTCCGTCACACGACCATGAAAGTTGAGCACGTAAGAGTTGCTCTCTGCACCGCGCCAACGGGGATAGAATGCATGAGAACTTCCAAAAGTGTACTAGGCCTGTTTTCACACGACAGGAGAGCGACAGGTGCGTGCACACACGTGCACACCTATGCACAAACAAGCCGCTTAGTACGGGCCGACACCAGCGTGTGCACGTACGTTCGTTCCAAGTGGGCTTTTTGTTGCGAAGGAGCATGATGTTTTCCGAATGGCCAGCTTTGACGCGGCTCAACATGCCATCCTCCTCGTTGGTGGGGACGACGGGGATGGGGGTGGCATCTTCGCTGCCCAAGGCGGGCAGATAGACGGTCATCTTTCGTGGGCCCTTGAAACCCAAAACGTTTGATTCATATTGAATGGCCGCCATCTCCTCACGCAGCGAGCGGCCTCGGTTCTCGGGCAGGTCTTGCTTGGCCGGGTTGATGCCACCGTCATAAAGCGAAAAGTGTGTCCCGATCATGTTCGCCCTGCGGTGAGCATCAGGGCACGTGAAGAAATACACCGGGCATGGTCCCTCGATGAGCAAGAGCCAATCCAACGCCAGCCAGAGTTCAAGATCGTAAGAACGCACCGCAGCTTGGCAATGAGCGGGAAGCCGGGCTGCTGGTATACGCCCATGCGGCAGATGGCGTAGTAGCTCGTCTTGGACTTTTTCATCTTGCGCGCACCCAATACGGCACTCTGACGATAGATGCATGATCGTGGAAGAAGGAAGCAACACAAACAAAATATGGGATGGAAGAGAAGCTGTGAGCGCGTGGCGAACACGCTGTTGGAAAAAAATGTGAGGGCGCCCAATCGTCACACGAAACTCTCACCAAGGTTTTTCCCTTGAAGCTATCGACAATCTCCAGATGAAGGACAAAATTGGGCTCGTTTTCGGCATCGTTGACATGGCGACGGCGCTCGATCGTGCACAGCACCTGAGTATAGAGCAAGAGTTTGGTGAGCACCACGAGCGACGGCGCGCGATGACATTGCACGCTCGAGGCCGCGCTTGTAATGGGCGGGGTGAGGCGACTGGCCGTGAGCTCTAACTGATCGCGACGGCGAGCAACCAGCATACCTTTTGTCCCATGGGAAGGGGTTGACAAATGTAATCACGCAGCGACGCCAGGTCATCCTGGGAAAAGCCGGCGTCCTCCTGTGCAAATTTGGGTCCCCATCACAGCGCAGGTGCAGCGGGCCATGAGCGCAACCGTCGTCGCGAATAACTCTCATGGTCTTGGCATGGATGGCGAGTGCTGCACACGACAAGCAATGGATGACGACCTTTTTTGCCTTGGTGGTCTCCTGGTCACCCTGAAAGCGCAGATCTGGGGGCTGATAGGCATCGAGCTGAGCGGAGGACATTTTGGCAGCAAAAGAGGACGAAGACGCTGAGCCAGAGGCCATGGGGGCGACTGAACCATCACCCAGGTCAATGTCATCAATGTGCTCCGCAAGCGACTAAAAGGAAACAGAACCTCACATCAGCGGCAGGACATTACACTTTGAAGCCACAAAGCCGAGACGTCGGCCGGCAAAGTATCGAAAGCTCGAGGCTTGGGCGACAGTACGGGCAAGGCTCTGGGGTAAAAGCATGGTTGTGCGTGGGCAAGTGTGAGTATACCTTGGAGCCATGACGTTGGCGCTCGTCGTCGGCACCGGCAACACCAATGTAGCCGGCAGCTGTGTCTTGATGACTGAGATCAATCGAGTCGGAGAGTTGGGTCGAGGTGGACGCTCCTAGACTGCCAGCGGACCAGACGCTGACTGGACGCGAGGAGGGTGCTCCGCTTTGGTTCAACTTGTTCCCGGCAGCTCCTTTCTTCTTGGCTGCCAACTTGGCACGCTGTTTGCGCACGAAAGCGATGAACATGCGTGAGGGAGATGAAAAGGCACACGGTGATATTTCAAGCTGCTGGGTGCTCAGAGCAACTCAAATCACGCCTCTTCTGCCAAACCCCCCGCATCTCTCTTTCAGATTCTAAACCTCGGTCTTGGCTCGCGCGACCCCGCCTCATCCTCGCACATGTCTTGGTCGCCACGGCTCCTCCTCTCTTCCCAACTCGCCCGTGTGTCAACAAAGATGCGGGCGAGGACCAACCTGACGCTCGATGGCGCTCATGGGGCGGGCACGGCTACAGACCACAATCAAACACCCAAAGCAGCAGATGAGATGGAAGCGATCGTTTCAGACCGCGCGGGGAGATCCAATCCCAGCCATACCCTTCATCAGCCATGATGGTGGTCGTCTGATCACAAGAATATAATCCAGCGGGGGCCAGGGGGAGGGGGGAGGTGCACTCGCACAATCCGATCCAGGTCGGCGCCTACACCAGGCCAATAGATATCGGATGAGCCAGCACCTTGGTTCTTACACCCCTGCACCGCAACACTCAAGAGTCACCGTTTTACCCATTTGCCGCTTCCTAATGCAACGACATCTCGAATACCACCACAACCCCACTGCCCTTTTACATCGCTCGCGCGCCCTCTCTCTCTCTCTCTCTCTCTCTCTCTCTCTTTTACCTCGAAACGCGAAATACACACACACACACACACACACACACACACACATAGAAAATTCATGGAATCCCTCTCTATTTTAAAAGAATGTTCTCGGAAATGTATGTAAAGTGTGATTTCACGCACACTTGTCGGGATGGGCTGCGGACAAGACCGTCTCATTCTGAACTTGCGGCTGCAGCTTTCAGGCACACACCACTGTTTGCAGTGCCAGCGGTGTCGGCCCTCTCGTCCCTTGTCCCTCGTGCGGTTAGCTTTTCCATCTGTAGCAACGGGCAGTGTGAGGGCTGGTGCCTAGCACGACTCGAGTAGCAAGTGCTACCACTGGCTTTGGAACCAAGTCCATGTCTGGGAGGTCAGAGCCGTGTGAAGAACGCTCGACTTGCTCCAGCAACGACAAGTTCGTCTTCTGCTAGAATTTGGAGCCGAACGTACCCAAAGCCATGTGGCGGCGCGTGGCACAGGCCCAGCCCGGGCGTCACCTGCACACCTTGTCCATTAAAGAGGTCTCCGCCAAAGATTTGACCAAAAGTCTCCTAGCCACCCACCTGGACCAGCGAGAACCCGTCCTGATTCGCGGCTGGGCCCTGGATTGGTCTGCCTGTGCTTTGCCCAAGAATGGCACCAAACCAACTGATTGGCCCATGTGGCAAGGTCTGCGCCAACTCAAAGACTTGCCCCTGATGGTAGAGCGTGGTCATTGGCATGAAGGAACCTTCTCCCGCAATCACCCCACCGTTATGGCCGACTTTTTAGATGAGCTCGAAGCCCTGGAGCGGTGTGGTGCCGAATCGACACCCCTGCCCATTCAGCGCGCCCACCATCCATACATGGCTCAATTTGATTTATTGGCAGCCGCGCCAGAGCTACGTGCGGGACTGAGACCTGCTCACGAGTTTCTGCCCGCACCAGAGCGGTTGCTTCAGACGCTGCTCTGGCTTGGCCCGGCCGGGACTGAGACTCCGCTTCACTTGGACCCGTACCACAACCTCTTTGTGCAACTGCTCGGCCGCAAATCTGTGACTTTGGTGCAAGCATCCTCTCCCAGTGATCGACGCCTCTACCGATACCCCAGCCTCAAGCACCGCAACTTGTCGCGCGTCAACGTAACCCTTCCCATCACAGAGCTCAACCAGCACTTTCCGGGCTTTTTGCACATGCCCCAAACGACTCTGACTTTGGACGCTGGCGATGCCCTGTACATCCCCCGCGGTCTGCATCACGACATTCGCAGCCTGACGACCAGCTGCAGCGTCAGCTATTGGTGGACATGAGCAGGCCCGCGAAGACAAGTGAACATTTGCCAGCTGCCTGAGCTCGTGTCCTGCGCCAGTTCGGCCCGGAATATCATTTTGTCGTGCGCCGAGCGCATCGATCAGTCATGGCCCCAGCCGTGCGAAGGTCGCCCGATGACAACCCATCAACCATAGTATGAAATGAAGTGAACAATCGATTGAGAGTAGATCAAATATTGCCCCGCCATCCTGATATATCCCACCTCGCAGCTACACATATACCTCGCCCGAGATGTGTCCGCAGTTAAAGACGTCATCATCCAACGATGCACCAGCTTGCCCCTGCGCCAAACCAGCCAGGAGTATCAGCCGGTGTGAGCAGCCACTGAGGTTGGGAATTCGGTTTCAGACGGAAGCAGCGATGCTCAACCTGGTTCTGCGTCGGGCCCAGAACAATGACGGCAAACTCGTCGCTCAGATCCTCGATAAAATCAATCTTGCTTCCAGTCGCCAAAACAGGGCTCGTGGCCCCCGCTCGATCAGAGCTGTCTTCACCTTCGGTCTCTTGAAGCAGCTCGCGAGCGCGGGAGACATCTGATTGCACCAGCTCTTGGACGGCTTTGAGCTGGGCCGATTCGTCCACGCCCGTCAGCGCAGTTGGGGCGGTGGCTGCTGCCTGACGTCGCTGTGAAATTTTACGCACGCTCTTTCGCACGCGCCGAAAAGCTTCATTGCAAGCCTTGGCAATGCCAGCTGCAATCTCACGCGCCTACCACCGAAATGAAAGCAGTCGAGGAAGGATCAAGACGTGAGGAGGACCCCTTCCTGGATAGCCGGTCGATGGTGCTCGATGCATCATGGTTTTCTCAAGCCCCTCTGCTTGGTGTGCTGACCATCCCTTTGCCCCCTTGGACTGGTTGTTGAAACCGACTTTGGGGGCAGAGCCGGCTTCAAAGCTGTGGCACTTGAACTTGCCGGCGCTGTCGCGATTGACCAGCAAAATGACACATGTGCCCGCATCGCAGACATATGCCAGCTGCAATAGTCCAACATTGCGGCAAGCGTCAAAATGGAAAGAGGTCATCAAGACGTGCACCAGACTTGCAAATGCAAGTGGTCGTGGCTACTTGCTGTGGAAAGCACGCCGGCACTTACCTTGTGGATCGGGTGATTCATGACCACTGAGCCAACGGCCATGTCTGGGCCAGCTTCGTCAACCCGCACAGTCAGCCCTTGGGTCGTAGCCTGAGATGAAACCATTGTCATTGCAATATACGATCAGAGGCGAGTGATAAGATGAAAACCCTACGCATCAGGTCATAGTCCCGAGGCTGTGTAGTCAGTGCGGCAGCACGGTGGCCAGTCGGACAAACCTCGAGTGTGAGAGAGGTGTCGAAGCCTCGCGCAAAGAGGGGATGCAAGGCCTGCGCCTCCTTCTTCTTGCTCTTCAGCAAGGTGGCCGCCTTCTGAATGGCAGCATCATCTGGGACACCCTGTGAAGGCTTGTCGATATAGACAAACCCAAGGTACTACAGCATCGGCCAGCCAAAGCAAGCAGGCACACACAAGCCCGGCAGCCACGCCCGAGTGAGTTTGAGCTCATGTGCAGTGAAAAGGAGCAAAGGGACTTACCCTGACCCGAAACGCGCTCTCTGCCGGGGCTGCCATGATGGATCAGATTTGGGATCTCGTCAAAAGGCCCACCGATTGGGTGCCTGGTCACACAAGATTTGCGATGGATCGCTCGTATCTGATCTGTCTGCAGGATGGCCAGTCAGTCAAGCCACGTTGCGCCTCCTTGCTTGTCGATCTGTCTACCTGCCGATCTGTGCGAAGCAAGGCAAGAATCACTGAGGGATGATGGCAGTCTTCTCGCGAGGCCCAGCGACCATCACAAACAACCCAAACAATCCAACACCCACAACCACTATGAGATGTTGGGCAGCTGAAGCGGATCAAGTCAAGATGCGCCCACCCCAAGATGAAAACGCTACAAGCGCAACGACGCGATCGGCCCAGATCCCCACAGCAGTAGACACGAGACGACTGGGCAAAACCGACTGGAGTGGCGGTGGTCTGGATGGGCGTACCCGAGCCGTTGGCGCTGGCGCGAGCACGAAAAGGGAGGAGTGGCCTGTCTCTAATATTCGGTTGATGCTGAAGATCTGCTACTTTGAGCAGGTAGGGCGCGGATCTGTACACTCGAGCAAGCTTGCCTTGGTGAGATTTATTGCAGCTATATGACAAGTTGTTGTCGTAGGGTTCTCAGTGGTGTGTGTGTGAGTGATATAAGCGTTTTCAAATTTTGGCGCAATTTTTTACGTGAAATTAAAAAAAAAAATTTGACCTCGATCGACCAGAGAGGGAACGAGAGACCGGAACAGCAGCTCGCGCGGCGAGTCGGGACAGTAAAGGTTGATAGCACGGATAGATGAGGCCAAAGTGGATAGAGTAGTCGGAAACGCTTTTGGCCAGGCGAGCCACAGCTGAATATGGACACCGGGGAAACGGAGAGCCTGGAGGCACTGCTGCTGTGGTGGGAGACGGCTGCGGGCTGGGAGCGGCAGGCTGCCTTGTTCAGCATTGGCATTTGCCTTGGCAGCATCATCACCATCGGATCCCGCTGCTGCTTTGGCCGCTGTCTTCTGCAGCGCGAAAAGTGTGAGTAGGATCATCGCGACGCTGCACCCAAGTGTCTAGGAATTGGCCGATGCTGGGCCTTGTGCCTCCTCCTCGTCATCCTCTTTAAACTCCCAAGCTTGGCGGCACATGGGGCATTGTTGCTCCATCTGTTGTGTTTGACTCTGAATCCATTTTAAAATGCAATGCAGATGAAAATTGTGCCGACACTTGCCCGCGACTATGCCAGTCAAGAGGGTTTGCACCAACAGAACAGGACGGGTATCAGTGAGTGCCTTCGCCAAGCCGGCCGCGGGCTGTTCGGATAGACAACAACGAGCATCAGACAGGCACGACACACCCAGGGGACAGTCATCGCCGGGAATTTGGCAATCAGAGCAACAGCCATCAAAAGGCTGTCGACAGATGCCGCAGAGCTCATCGTTGGCATCCCAACGCCAGACCGTGACCATGGTCCATCTGCCGCCAGCGAAGCATCGACACGCGAGTGAGACTGGGCACAACAATAAAAGCGTCGAGCTAGTCCCGATGGCGCAAGCACGAGAAACTGCAAAAGGATCAGGATGGCAAGTCGCGGAGAAGCAAGGAACGGCTATCATACTCTACATCAAGGGGAGACACGGGTAAGAGTGAGCGCCGCGCCGCGCCGCGCATGCAGCAGGGATTGGGCGGAGCACAAGGCAACGCGTACTTTTAATGTTGGTCTTCATCCTGGACGAGGAAATTATTTCTACAAAACGTCTGTTCAGCTTGAACGTCGCCGTCGCTCCTACCCTCTGTCGCCCAAACCCAGACCGAGAGAGACGGATACAACCAAGGACCAGAGCCAGAGAGAGAGAGAGAGAGAGAGAGAGAGAGAGAGATGAATTGGTGTGAGAGAGAGAGAGAGAGAGAGAAAAGAACTGATAAAGAAGTCCAAAGTGTGACTTTTTGTTACACTCAAAGCGCATTTTTGTTGACAAAATTTAATATTGTGCTGTTACTGGTGTGGAGGACATGCAGAGTGTGATTACTGACTACTGTAGTGGTAGTGGGCGGAGACCCTCTTTATTTTTTTTTATTTTTTTCTCTTCTGGCAACGAGCCAAGAAGGTGAGGCGGGGGTGAATGCATGGCAGTTGAGGCGGAGATGCATGCGCTTGCATGAGGGAGGATGTGTGAGTTGAGGATAGGCAAACTGTAAGCTGGGTTTTTCAGCTTGGTTCGTGAGCTGATCTTTGGTGTCGGGAGAGAAAGAGCAACGGTTGAGAAGGCATGGTGTGACGTTGACGCATCGCGGCCTCGATCCGAGACCTGTAGATCAGCTCTTCGCGCAACCATGCACTTGGTCCTTATTCCCTATTCTTACCTTTAGCTCCGTGTTTTTGTCCACAGTTGTCCTCGCATATCAACTCTGGAGTGCCATTTTCGTTGAAACAGTCACGCTTGGAGCCGCACGAGTTCATCGTGTCACGAGCGCGTCGTTGTGGGCGCAGACATTGCCATTGCCTCGCAACCCCTCCGTCTGGCTCCCATTGCAACCGCTCGCCATGGGGCAGTCCGACTCGCGAATGGCCGACTACACGCCTGATCCCTCCAGCCCTGGTAGCTCGACCAAGCTGACCAAGAAAGAGCTTCGGCGGAGTAAGAAGGCCGAGCGCCGCAGCAAAAAAATCGCAAAAAAGCTTGCCGCGGTCGAGGCCCGTCGCAGCAAGAAGGAACGGCGCAATCGCAGCAAATCCATCGCTGCTCCAGGTCATGATAATGCCGTGGACATTGACCATGGCTCAAATCTGCAGCAAGCCCTCCGCCAGAAGCGCTCAAATTCCTTTGTTCAACCATCCGGACTGACGTCAGCCAGCGTGGACGAGGTCACCACGTCTCGAGTCCCCGCCTCGGGTTTTGGCACGGTACAAGGTGAGATTGCTCGACGAGAGCGAGCCGACACGGCACATCGTCAGCAAGAACTTGAAGAACGCGCGCATCAGGAGGAGTTGATGCGCAAGCGACAGGAGGAAAGCGAGCGCCGAGCAAGTGCAGCCGCTGAGCGGCGCGCCCAAGAAGCAGCTCAAGAGGCCCAAGCTGCTAGCCGAGCGGCTGAAGAAGAAGCTCGTCGTGCTCAAGAACGTGACTCGATGGCGGCGGCGGAGCAGCGCCTTCACGAGCAAACTCAGGACAAGGCCAGAGGGCACCCTGCCCAACATCCCAAGGCCGCTATTCCTGAACAGCCCTCTGAGGCCCAGATGTTAGCTGAGCGACGCGCCAGTGCAGCTGCCGAGCAGCGGGCCAAAGAAGAGGCTGAACTCAAAGTTAAGGAGGAGGCCGAGCGCAAGGCTAAGGAAGAAGCTGAGCGCAAGGCAAAGGAAGAGGCTGAGCGCAAGGCTCAGGAGGAGGCCGAGCGCAAGGCTAAGGAGGAGGCCGAGCGCAAGGCAAAGGAGGAGGCCGAGCGCAAGGCAAAGGAGGAGGCCGAGCGCAAGGCAAAGGAGGAGGCCGAGCGCAAGGCCAAGGAAGAGGCCGAGCGCAAGGCTCAGGAAGAGGCTGAGCGCAAGGCTAAGGAGGAAGCTGAACGCAAGGCTCAGGAGGAAGCTGAGCGCAAGGCCAAGGAGGAGGCCGAGCGAAAAGCTAAGGAGGAGGCTGAACGCAAGGCTAAGGAAGAAGCTGAGCGCAAGGCTAAGGAAGAAGCTGAACAAAAAGCCAAGGAGGAGGCCGAACGAAAAGCCAAGGAGGAGGCCGAGCGAAAAGCTAAGGAGGAAGCTGAACAAAAAGCCAAGGAGGAGGCCGAGCGCAAGGCCAAGGAGGAGGCCGAGCGCAAGGCCAAGGAAGAAGCTGAGCGCAAGGCCAAGGAGGAAGCTGAACAAAAAGCCAAAGAGGAATCCGATCCTGAGGTGCGTTTTCACGTTGGCTTCCAAACAGTGATGGCATTCCAGCATCATGATGTCATGTTATTCTTAGCATTCTGACCTGCCAATCATTCAAAGTGTTGAGCCTTCTTCTCATCTACCCTGCTTGTTGAAACTCAGGCGGCGGCCTTGGCAGCTGGGAGTGCCAATATCAACACCGCCGCAGCCATGTTTGGAGCGCGCATGCGCAGCTCCTCCTTTAGTCAGCTCAACGTGGGCGCTGATAAACCATTGGCATTGGCCAACACGTTTGGCGACTCGGATAGCGCAAAGAGCACCCCGCGTCGTAGCGTCGGTAAACTCAACATTAGTCATATCACCTCGAATGAGTCGACGCCGTCCAAGGACGGTGCTACTGGTGAGGATTTTGAGGAACTCGACCAACGAGCCCTTGATGCGGCCAAATGGGTTGATAAGGAGATTCGCAAGCTCATTGGCGAGATTCAAAGGTGAGCGTGATACATTTCGTCTCGCTGAACCGGTTCTTTGTTCCATACCAACATGCTTTTCTGCCCCTTTCAGGCTAGGCACAAAGAATGATAGTGGCAAGGTTGAGATCACCTACGGACCTTTGTTTGATGCGACGGCAAATACCTTTGAGGCTCTGTCTGGGACGCTAAAGACGGCAAAGAAGTATGATGTCGTGGACTACGAGGGAGAGCTTTTGTACCAGGGAGCCAGCGACGACGTAGTCATCACCCTGCTCAAGGACACACACGACGGTATGGACCTTTGAGCCCGTTGGCCAACAATCCCTGACCACCACAACAAGTGGCTGCTTCGGCATGTTGCATATCCAACTCACCACACGATGATGCTCGACACGCAGGCGTGGTCATCAAACGGCGACGTAAGTCAGATCTCAAGACAGGAAGCGGCGCCAAGAGCAAAGGGTTTGAAACGAACACGCTGCAAAACGCCCAACAAAAATGCCATGTTTGTGGCAAGACCGTCTACCCCATGGAATTTGTTGGCGCTGCGGGCAAGGTACGGACTACGCATGAAACCATGCGGGGGTGGGGGTTGTCAAAGTGCCTTCCAAACGGCCTCGTCTGTTTACGGTTTTTATGTTTGATTTTGGGATCTCACCACGCTTTCTCACGTGCGCTTTGTTTCCAATTGGTGAACCCAGGCTTTTCACAAGATGTGCTTTCGCTGTGAGGTGTGCAAGACAACACTCAAAGCGACCAATTACTGCTGCACCGACGACTCGCGGTTTTATTGCAAGACACATTACATGGCCAAGATTAATGCTGGTGCAACCATTGACGATCTGTGAGGGATTGGGACGGCGAAACACGTGCGACAAACTCAACTCCTGGCGCTGGTCTTTCTGACCGCTGACCCGGGGCCCACGTGCATTTCATCTGTAGCTAGTTTGGTTCATAAACGGCGTAACGCAAAATTTAAAGTTTACGGACAGGCTTGATGGTAAATGAACAAAAGACTGGAAGATTTGGGGTGAACACACAGTATCTGCTGGGAAACAATGGCTTGATCGACCGCAGGAACAGGGTACGAGGCGAATTCGATTGGGGCCAAGCAGGCAGAGACAAAGAGCAAAAAAAAAAAAAAAAGAAAGAAAACAATACGGAGAAGCAGCGGAATCAGGATGCATCTGAGCGCTGCTCAGTCGTTAGGCATCAGGCTCCACCTCCCCTCTAAACGCCCAAGACGGAGCGTCAAACGTAAACAGAATATTGACCGTCTGCATCATATGCATGGTCATGGACCCAAACATTGATGGCCTTCTCAGAAGAGACCGTAGCGACGGTGAGCGAAATAGGCTGCACCGCCGAGCGCTGCGGCACCCATAATCCAGGGCAGCACTGAGACCGTCTGGCTAGGAGCGGGGAGCGCACCCTTTGTGCGCTGGGCATTGATCAAGCTCAGAATACGATCGAGAGCGTGGTGCGTGCGAGTGTCATTGGAGGGGGCACGGGCCTTGAGCTCGAGGCAATGTTCCTCAAAGATTTCGTAGAAGGCAGTCATGTTGGTGGCGCGCATCATGAGCTGCACGGCCTGACCCTTGCGGATCTTGACGTTGCGATGAAGGACATTGCGGTTGTTGTAGCACAGTGAGAGGGTGGCAATGGCCATCACCTGGGGAATGGCGCAAAAGTTGAAGATACTCTGGTCCTGAAGACGGGACATGTACTTGAAGACCTCAGGCACGAGGTCGAGCGCATCGGCTACGAGGTGGTTGAGGCACTTGAGGCCGGCGGCCTCGTGCTGCGGCTCCACAAAGTCGCCCAGCTTGCCAGCGTAGAGGGACCAGATTTGATGCGGCCACCAGGTGCGACCATCCACAAGATCCTCGTGGTAGTCACGGATGATGTTGGTCTTCTGCAGGAAGAGACCCATGGAATTGGAGCACTCGACGTCCTTGCCAACCATCTCGCTCTCAAGGTTGCTCACGCTAAAGAGACGCGAAAGGCCGATTCCAACCAAGCCGGCCACGTAGTGGCAGTACTAGTTGGTCCAACAATTTGCGGGGCAGATGAGATGACCCATAATCTGGAAGTTTGAGAATCGGCCGCCCTTGAGCAGCCGGGTGCCCAGGGCAAAAACTAATTGATAATTGTGCAACTGGTGCAGCAGTCATACCAGGTTGTAGTGATCGACCGTCTCTACTTGCTTGTGGGCAAACTTGATCATACCAGCACCCATTTTCTTGCAAATATCGGCAATGACTTCGCTGTACTTGGTCTCGAGCCGGAGAAATTCGGCAATGACCTGAGGTTTGCAAGTGTGGAACCATGGCAAGACAAGGGTATTCAAGGCACAGTCAGTGTATGATGCCGTGGGAAAATAGAAGAAGCATGGCTGCTTTCCGGCTGAGCGAGCGTAGGCCTGAATGACACAAGAAGTCAGATTTCCCTACCACATCAAATTCAACCAGCAGTTGGCGGTCCTTCTCCTGAGGGCCAATGCCTTTGAAGGTCCAGCCAGGCTCGAAGAGCTTGTCATGGAAAGACTTGAGAAGGTCCTTCTTGATGTTCTCGTCGAGGCTCATGTCATCCTCCACCGTGTCAAGTCCGCGCAGGACCAAGTAGAAAATGCACACGGCACGGCTGCGGTGAATGATTCATGGTGGGCAACGTGAGCCAGGCAATCAGGGGTCAAGTCGCGGCCTCGGCTAGAGCTCTCGTGGTAGCTTCAGCATCAACTTGGACAAGCCTCAAGTCAGGACTATCACGGACGCGGATTGATCAAAGGAAAGTCAAGGTGGCATACCGAATGTCGGGGTGCAAGGCCTTGATGACGGCGGAGAAGCTACGCGATGTCTTATCGAGCCAGTAGTAGCATCGCTGCATGTTGGCTGTCTCCTCGGTCTATTCAGGAGCACCAACAAGGTCAACTGTCGGTAGCGAAGGGCCAACCACTTGTGGATTGCCGTTGCAGTCAGGAAGCTGCCTCTCAAGTGGGGCGATGAAGAGAACTCACTTGGTCATTTGGAGGGAAAAGGCGCTCCTTGCCCCCGAGCAGCTGAAAGTTGACCAAGCTAGCGATGGGTTGAGCGGTGAGCAAGCGGTGAGCGGTGAGCAAAGCGTGTGTATCTGTCTGTCCGTGTATCTGTCTGTGTATCTGTCTGTCTGTCTGTCTGTGGTGAGGCATTGTGGCAGCTGGTCCAGGCGAAAAGCAGCCAGCAAGGGCAAAGGCTGGGCTGAGAAGAGTCTCTGACCTGAAAATCTCGCTGGGGTGAACGAGAGAGCGGGCGAGATTCATACTGCTGGACAGATCAGCCGACTTTTCTTGGGCAACGGCGGCGGCAGCAGCAGCGGCAGCGGCAGCCTTGGCTGACTTTTTTGCGGCGCGCTTCTTGTGGTAAGGCAGGTTCTTCTTGCTACGACGGCGGCTGGCGTCGGTGGTGGTAGAAGCAGCAGGAGTCTGAACAGTTGCCGTGGACGCAGGCATGACGAAAAGTGCTGTTGGTGGCACCACCAGACCCAGATGAGGTGAGAGAGACACAGGCGGACGAGGCACAGATAAAGGGGCGGAGCGCGAGGCAAACGAGGTCCACACAGCACTGCCACCTGCACGCCGTACCCGTGTTGGAGTAGCAATACGCTCCAATCCCTCCTCACACAGCCACGCTCTCCCTCTGCACCAACAAGGCAACAACAAGTGACACAAGTGAGCGCGCGCTGCGTCAGGCACTGCCCTTTTAATACCAACGACCGCCACAACGACCACCACCACCAGCAGCAGCAGCAGCAGCAGCAGCAGCAGGGCACAAGAGCCTGAGGCATTTCCGCACGCGCACGAGTGTGGTGTGTGTGGTGTGTGTGTCTGCCATATTTGCTGTGCGAACCGACCAATGAGTGGAGAGACAAAAGAAAGTGTGAATGTGTGATCAATATCACGCTTTGATGATATAATGTGTGATACCCGTCTCACTTTGCCTTGCTGGTCACGTGACTTCTCCCCGACGTGGTTCCATCACACGAAGCAGCAGCCTTCGCTTGATTTGTCAGATTATTTGTCAGATGATTCGGATGCTGACAAGTCTTGGGTGGTCGCTACCACGTGTAGCAATTATTGCTTGTAAGGTTGGAGGAAAACCAAAAAGTCTCTCTCTCTCTCTCTCTCTCGCTCGGCCCGCCCCCTGGACTCTGACTGGCGACCACTGAGCTGAGCTGAACTGAGCTGGTTGGGCTCTGGCCCTGATCCAACGCTTCCCAGTCTTCTCCTTGACCCAAGCCTACTCGCTCTGTGACCTTGTTTGAATACTTGAAAAGATCTTTTTTTATTCATCGCCTCGTCTTCGCCCTCTCCTTTTCCTCCTTGTCCCGCTTCTTCTCTCATCCTCCCCTCGTGACACGGACGTATACTGTTCGACGGCTCACCTTGTGTTGACTTTGCTTTTGCGCAGCTGTATCCGATCCTTGTCGCGGTCCAACACCGCCTCCTCAGATTGCTGCCACTGCTTCTGAAGTACCGACGTCATGGTTTCAAGCAAGGTGAACCGCCGCCCGACCCCCAAGAAGGCCAAAAACGAGGGCTTTGAGTTTCCGTCCAATCTCAACGAGGCTGGCCAGCTCTTCCTCAATCACTGGGGCGATGGATTTGCCCTGGCCGTCTGCGTGCTCGTGGCTGCCTACTTTATGCCTCTCACAACCCCACTGGCGGAGATGATTATCGTCATCAATCACAACGTGACCAACCCCGCCGATCTCAAGCAACACGGTGCGTCACAGCCTTGGTGCCCCGATCGCCGATCGCTTGAATCGCCGCGATCCCGAGCCCGTCACACATCATAGCCTTGGCGGGAAGCATATCCAGATAGCGTTTGTCACGAAACACAGCCCTTGACGTTGCACGTCCATCTCCAAAACCTCAAGCCGCCGTCTCTCTCTCTCTCTCTCGATTTCTTTTTTTCTGATAGAATGGGTGGAGTTTGTGCCGGGTGTTCTGGACGTTCCCTTCATCGTCTTTGCCGTAGCCGTCACCGCCGCCGTTCAGGACCTGATTGGTGATCTGATTTTTTACGTAAGGGCTGCAGCACTTACCAGCAAGCCGCTATGGCTTGTCTGCACACACCATGTACACGCATCACACCTTTGGTTTTTGCCTGTCCGCCGCGACCCGTGCTTACGTCCGCCTCTCGTTTTTCACTGGGACATGACCTGACCCACCTTCCAATACGTCAGAACTTGAACCGTCAGATGCAGCCCAAGCTCTCCTGGCAACTCGTGGGCTCGACCATGGTTGTCCGCTTCTTGATCTTGATCGGCGCCGCCACTTGTCTCAGCGACACATGGAAGCCAGATGGCGTTGGCTACGCCTGGCTCAATAATGACACTTCCGAACGTGCTTCTTTGGGCATCAAGCTCATGGCGCTCCTGTGCATCGTGTCCCCACTCACCACCCTGACCATCACCACCATCCAAAAGGTATGGCCCGCGTCTGTACCGGCTCCCCAGCTCTGATCGGCCTCGCTTCCCATTCTCTTGTGCTCGGCAACGACGCGTTCTAACGCCAAACTCTTGAATTATAGATGACTTCCAAGAGCAAGAACTTCAACATGACGATCGTGCTCTCCTCCGTCTGCCTCGCGGCGGGTGGTGCCCTGACTCACTTTGCTGGGTACGATTTCCGTGGCGGCCAAGGGAATGACGCAGCTCACATGGATATCACAGACGTGCTACGCTTGCACTCTTCCAATCTCTTTTGGTTTTCCCTCTCCCTGCGACGTCTGACTTTGCGTTTGAAACCGCTTGATGCGTCAGATTTGATCGGCTTCAAGCCGCTGTCATCGTGGCCCTCTATGCCGGAGCTGTCTTCTTTGCGCTGGCCGAGTTGATGCAACACCTGGCCGTCCGCAAGAGCAACAAGCTTGCCAGCAACGTAGTTGGTACCGCCGAAATTGCCGCGAGCCTGTAGGTCCCACGGCATTCACCGTCTTGTGCACTGCTTCGCCCTGAGTATCAACCCCGTCTGCCATGCCGAACCTGCATGCTCGCCCGATTCATGCACATTGACACATACGCTGCCGGCTTGCTGGCACCTGCTCGGCTCGTACCGCAGGCAAAAGGCCAAGGTTCCCATGCAGTTGGCTGGTGTTGCTGCCGCCGGCCTGATGACCGCCTACACCCTGCTGTCAGTTTGTATCTCCAAAGGGCCCTCTCTTGCGTGGCTGCTTTCCGACCCTTGGCAGCAACTCACGCCAACCCAACCCTGACCCAAATCCCAACTTTGTCTCACGTTTGTGCCGTTGGCATTGTGCTTCCCTTTTATAGCGTGGCGGGGCCTCTGACCACCAACGGTCTGATTGCCGGCGCTGGCATTGCACTCAGTGCTGTGGGTCTCCTCATTCCTTGCACCATGCCCACCATCACCTTTGACGGCAAGACCTACTAAGCCACATGCCCGACCCCAACCCCCTCGACACCTTACTACGCATGGCATCATTGCCCTTGAACGTAAATTCAACTGAATAAACCCGACCGACGACGACCTTCATGTCTCCCACACGCCCTTTTTTATTGCACGTGAGAAGAAGGATAAACGCCCCTTTTTGTGAGCCCCCGCCGCCATCGCATCTTCTCCTCGGCCCTGACCATACCCGTCGGTCAGACTAGCACCCAACGCACCCACACCATCCGCACAATCTAGCGCTGCCAACTGATCATGAGCCCCGTCGTCGCCGCAAAGGCATCCCCCCCCACACACACAAAAGGGATTTTGTCATCATCACCATCACATCCATCATCATCACTACCTGACGGACAAACCGCATACTTCTACCTATTCTGCACCGTTTACCTCTACACATAAAAGTCAATGATGCCCTTGCCCAACAGTGGTTTCTTCATCTTCTCCACAATTCGCTGCATTAACCCCGAGCCCGTCGATCGACGGCATCATTCCGACTTGAGAGGAAGAAATAATTTTTTTTCTCTTTTTTTTTTCCATTGCTGTTGGTGCAGCAGCTAAAGGGCAGCGAGGAACCCGGCGACGACGGACAGATACTGGCTGCCTTGACCCTGACACCCTTGCCGCGAGCCGTGTATGTCTGGGGTGCCCACAGGTGGTGTGTGTTTGCCCAAGCACGGACGCCTCGCGTTGAATTATACCTGCAGGAGTGGGTTTTGACGTTGACAGGGTGTGATCACCACCAGCACCGTCGTGCTGGAAGCGAAGTCGGCCGGGGTTGGGGAGGCCGATTCGCCCGAGCTGTCGGCCTCCCTTGAGCTGCTTCAAATTACGGCAGAAGCTGAGAGTGACTCGTCTTGGCCCTGCCCCATCATGACCAAACGAGTCAAGCGCAACGTGGCTTCCACCCCCACCTCCACCGCCACCCCCGCTTCCTCCCTGGCCCCTCAGGAGCTCTCACCCTCGCCACATGCCTCCAAGCGCGGCAAAACTCGACCTGATCGCGCCCCGTACGCCAGCACATCGTAGCTCAGCCTCGGCCCATACCGCCTTGCCCAGCCCACATGCCGACGCTCACCCACTCTTTGTTTGTTGCAACGTGCCCTTCGTCATCCGCCCACTCCGTTTGCTAGAGCCCCTCGAACAAGCTTTTCCCTCACAGCATGTCGCAAGTGGTTTGCGACTTACCTCAGTCAAGATGGTGAGTATTGGTCATGTACCAACCTCTCGAGAATTCACATGCACACGATGCTTATTTCTTCCAGCATTGTCGTGCTCAAGACTGCCCGTGGCGCAGGCTTTTTCGCTCATGTGCCCGCCTTTGCCTCATCTCATTCGCTCCTTTCCCTGCATCTGGACAGGAGACAAGCAGATTGAGCCTGCTGGCGTCATGAAGCTTTGTGAAGACTTGAATGTGACTCCAGAGAACGTCAGTGGCGCCTTAATGCAACTGCCCGCTCTTCCACACGTCTGATCTTCGTGTCGCCTCCCTCATCAACCTTGTTGTGCGTGTCATAGCCGGTGTTGCTCGTGCTGGCCTCGGATGCGGGCTGCGAGCGCATGGGCTACTTTACCTGGAACGAGTGGCTGAGCGCCATGAACAAATATCAGTCAGTGCCCGCATCGTCACGGCCCATCATTTCAGCAGCAGACGTGGCTGTTGACGCTGCTCAACGTTCCGATGGCTAACGGGGGCTTGGTGGAACGCAGGTGTGCTTCTGCAGGCTCGTTGAAGGCCAAATTGCCACTCCTCGAGGCACGACTGACCACCCCGACCGAACTCGACGTGATCTATAAGTTCGCCTATGATTTTGCCCGATCTGCCCAAGACAACCCAGCGCAGCGTAGCCTCGACAAGGACTTGGCCATCGACATGTGGCAACTCCTTCTCCGTCGTGGTTGGCCCTTGCTGCCGACCTTCCTCAACTTCGTCCGGGTACGTTTGCGCACGAGGATCGTCCATCACAGCCAGACTGACCGCCAAAGGCATCTCTCACCCCTTTCTTCTCGTCCTCACTGTGGTTGCCCTCTTGCGACAGTCAAATGCCATCAAGGTCGTCACTCGAGATCAGTGGCGCTCCCTTTTGGCTTTTGCGCGCGAGAATACTGACACCGTCGAGAACTACGATGAAACTCAAGCTTGTACGCTCATCTTTCTTTCTTTCTCTCTCTCTCTCTCTCTCTCTCTCTCTCTCTCTCTCTCTCTCTCTCTCTCTCTCTCTCTCTCTCTCTCTCTCTCTCTCTTTCTTTCTTTCTCTCTCTCGACCAATCTCACTTGGATGACAAATGCGGAATGTTTTGTATAGGGCCTGTGCTGATTGATGAGTTTGTTGATGAGGTTCGAGCATAGTCGCTGCTTGGAAATACTTTTGTAGCTTAGAACAGCGAATTGGCCTGAGGCCTTCTCCTTTGGTTGACTGTTTGCTTGTTGTCGACACCCGAGCCGTGACCTGACCTAAAAGTGTCAAGTGCTCAAGCAATTCCATCACACCTTGCTCTCTTCCTCTTTCTTGTCCCATCAAGTCCAAGGGATTGATTCGCCTGTGTCAAGCTCAATTTCGTATCATCAACGAGTCGAAGAGCGCGGAGACTAGCGCTCGAAAACATAAACCAAAAAGAAGCAAAGAGCAAGGTCGAGTGCTACATGGATTGGCTTCAAAACCAAATGTTCATGTTCAGCTCGATATAAGTCGAGCAGCTACAAAGCAACGCAACACATGCAGCAGTGAGACTTGGTTGACCCAGTCCATTCGCATCATGAGCCTCCAACAATAATAAGTGTATCCTACCTCGCTGGGCGCCAGTTGTCACCAGTGCTTCGCTCCCAAGCCGCCGCCTAGAGTAAATGCACACAGGGCTCACGTGAAAAACCCGAAAAAAGGCGGTAGACAGCAAGGGGAGCTAGAACAAAGAAAAGCGCAAGGCGCTATCACACACAACGTACCATGGTAAGCGAGTTGGGGGCAAAGGCCACGGAAACCACGTTCGAGCCAGCCGTGGTGTCGGCACACGTGTAAAATTCGTCGCGCGTATCGCCTAACATGAGCATCCATGGCTCGAGGTGAGAACCGAGCGGCACAAAGTCTGATGTGGGGTGATAATACATCAGTGCACTGGACTCACCCTTGTTACCTACAACAGCCGTAATGTTCACCATTTGGGCCAAGGAAATCTCTTGGCCTTCAGCCTGCTCATTGCCAAACCAAACCACATTCAAGTTGCTGAGCTAAGCCAGCAGCTTCAAAAATGACAAGCCCATGTGACAAGTCGAGACTGAGTCAACACATACCTCATACTGCTTCAGAGCGTCATGGATGATAAAGTAACGGAAGACGGTGCTCGAGGAGGGTGACATGCTCCACTCAAAGTGCTCACGGATTTCAGGGTCGTAGCCATGGTTGGTGCGCCAGACAGCATCAGGAATCGCCTCGCCAATGACATAAGTCTTGTTCTTAATATCAATCGTGGCGTTGATCTCGCTGTCGGAACCAAAGCCACGCAAAAATTATAAGGACACAATCCAAAGCGCTCTGCAATGGCTGGCACCGAGGGAGTGGCATGAGAAGGGCGCTGCCTCTACGCACCGAGGATCGTTGTCGTGGAAGAAGGCCGTGTAGTTGTGCATGGTCTCCATAACCAGAGCAGCAGGGCGGCCTTGGATGAGAGAGTCAGAAGCACTTCCCACCTGCGTGAAGAACAATAGGAACGTGCAAAGGATGAGCGCAGGCGAGTGGACGAGTGATGCACACAAGGGAGAGCAAAGCTACAGAAGCTTGAAAAACCAATGGGTAGCAACAACGTGGCGGTCGACATACCATGTGATTAAAACCAACAGTGTTGTTGGTGGCCTCCCAGAGGGCTTTGGCCTCGGTCAGGTTGCGGGCATTTTCCATGATATAGCGCAGACGAAGCGCCCATGGGAAGCCGTCAAAGGTGATGCGGTTCTCCTCGAGGTTGGCCTCGTGCACCGTGATGCCCTGGGAAGACATACCAGTGATGGCACCCCACATGGGCGCTAATGACAGGGCATGAATACCATGCAATCCATCACCGATGTGAGAAAATACGCTGACGTAGTTGCAGCGGTACAGCAAGGGAACTGTCGATGTGCCATCACGCACCAAAGCCAACGGTAGCATGCGCAAAGCCATCCTCGGGGTGGAAGACCGTGACAAGCTTGTAGCGGTTCATGCCGCTATCCTTGGTCCAGTCCAGGTTACGGCCTAAAGCAGAGCACATCGTGTCAGACACAACGCTTTGATCACGCCTGCTCACCCAGGCAGCAAAGACTGACCAGCAAAGAGGTTGCCGTTGGCCGTACGGGTACCCCACGCTGCAACCATGGAGCAGAACCCTACATGTACCAAGCACCGCGCCCCGGAATGAAAGCAAATTTAAACCACCCAGGGCGAGACTCGGCGGGTTGGTAAGGAGCCTGAACTGAACGAGCAGATTGTATGAGCACGGGGACGTACCGCGGAAGGCCACGTGACTGGGAACGGGTTTGCCAATGGCGTCCGCGACGGCATCGCCAAAGTACTCTCGGATGAGAACGTAGATAAAGTCGGGAATGTCACCAGGCATGTTGGCTAGGACCAGGACGCGCTCGATGGCTTTGCCCAGGTCGGGCTGTCCGTGATCGTTGCCAGCAGCGGTGATACCGGCGAGTTCCTGTTGGTAAACTGCAGGGAGTTCGGTAAAGAGGTCGCGCTTGGCCTGCCAATCACAGATGGCACCGATAATGTCCTTGGCAACATCAAGACCCATGGTGCTGTTGATGAATGAGCTCAACAGGGAGTCGAGAAAGGCGTTGTAGACGAACATGACTTCATCGGCCATCATGGCACTACAAATGGATGAACGTGCGGTCAAGATATAGCACAGTGAGTGGCAATCAGGCATCCACGACAAGAACGACTAGGAGAAGGCTCGAACGGAGCAGCATACCCATAAGCATAGCCCATTTCATAGCGGCTACCATGCAGGTCGACGAGGAGGGGCGCGTTGTCGTAACTGGAGTTGGCTTCAATGCGGTACAGCGTCGACTTGTTGTACGTCTTGAGAACGGTGAAGTTGTAGGCGGATTGAAGGTCTGGCTTGAAATAGGCCGTGCTGCTGCCTAGCAGCACAGCCAACACAGCCACCAGCAGCGAACATCCGGTGCGCATCTCGTCGGTCTGCACGTGCAGCAACCCGGAGCAGCATGGCGTGAGCGTCACTGCAACCACACCCCGTCAACCAAACAAGTCGGACCGCGTTTCCCTTGATCGGAAACCAGGTTCTTTCCAACACACAACACACACACACGCACACACACGCACACACACACACACACGCCACACATAACCGCACACGCGGACGCACACATATGCCTAGCCTCTCTCCCGATCAGAAGCGATGCAGCCCTCGCCAGTCACACACACACACACATCAACGCACGTCAAACAACACGGTACCTCCAAAATAAAGAAGCGAAATGACGCTCTCCCCCTTTGTTGCTGCTTGATATGCTTCTCTCTCTCTCTCTCTCTCTCTCTCTCTCTCTCT